GGAAAAGCTGGTAAATTACTCACCAGCATCAAGAAAAAAGTGACTTACACAGTGTTAGAGGCTGAGGTTTTTCCTTGCATACATTCAGAGGATTTAATCTATGGTTTGATTCCCTAATGATCTTTTGCATCTAGTTTTCTTACACACAAGTAAAAGTACAAAGTTCAATGACAACAACAAAAGACCAAAAATTCCCAATAAACCCTGAACTCCTAATAGTCAGAAACACTTTTCTGTGTCATGGATTGGCTGGAGTAAAAGGATCAGGGCTTGAATAGGTCAAACAGTGAACAGAAAAAAGGAAGGGATTAGGGAAGTCATACTTCTGGGGGATTGCTGAGCTCACTGCAGTCATGGAGAGTGGGTTTGGTCCTCTCCAAACACACTCCAAAGTGTGATTAACTCCGCAGGCAAAGAGTTAATCACACTTGATTCCTGGCTTTGCTTTCTCTGTAGCCAGGGTTTTCATCTCTCCTCCTGCATTTTTTCCTTTGTAAACTTGATGGAAGCAGAAGGAGAAGCAAAGCAAACAGGGAGGTAGAAATTTGCTGATTAGAAGATTGACCAATGGAAATTTTACTGCAGCAGCCTCACGAACAGGGCCAGCCCACGGTGTGACAAAAATCCAGCTCAGGCCATGCGTGTGACAAGCACTGGCCAAGGATGTGCAGTCCAAGGATGAATGTGCAGAGAGGCACTGCTGCTGCTCACGCTGAGCTTCTCCCTTGTGTTGTGTGTCTGTGGACACTGCTCCAAAGCACATTATTAAGTGAAGGTGCAGTTGCTGTCCAGATTTTGGGGGGTATCACCCTGTTCCCTGCCACACAGAATTGCTCACTGAATGTACAGAATTGCCATCAGCTGCAGCCTGTGCTGGTGTAGAGGAAACAAACCAGAGCAAAGTTCAGGTTTTGGTCTCAAGCAGCTCCCGTGGTGACTGGGAAATGCTGTTAGAGCTCTATCTTTTTTAAAAGGCCATGCCCTGATGCATCCTAGCCAGCAGAAGGGGTTCTACTTGCATCTACTTCCCTGTGAAGTTTATTCTCCCTGCTCTTTTCCCTGTGCTCTGACATCAGAGACATTTCTTGATGCTGCTTAACCCTTAGCCTTAGAAGGGGGCTGTACATTTCATCCAGGAGACATTTAACATGCAGAGGCTTGGAAAAGGTAAAGCTACTCCCCTATTCCCTTCTGGAGTGACTTTAGATCTTCCTGTTATGCACAGACCACAGGGCTGGAATCAAAACATTCAGCTGAGCCTGTGAAAATTAACCCCCTGCCTTTAGGATTGGGCAGTGTGAAGTATCTCTTCAGGATGGTTCTCCTTGTAGTAGGAAAACTAGAATGTGTCTGGCACTGAAAATAAATCCTGATTTTCCTGCCACTGGAATGAGACAAGATAACACAAAAGAAACAGGGGGGACAACCAGCTCAGCCCCTCCTGTTGCATCTGGGGAGGAGAAGAATGGGAGGGGTGGAGAAAGATGTTACCACACTGTAGGAAAACAGCTTTAGGTTTTCTTGTCTTTTGACCATTTTGCAAAATCTGAGTGACTCTGACTTGGTGTTGCTGGAGTCTGTCTTTCATCCAAACCTGGCTGTATTCTGAGTCCCACTGGAATCCTTGTAGAGATTGGGGTTTGTCTGAGGCTGCCTGGAGAGCAGCAGGGAGCTGAACTGAGCAGAGTAAAATCTGAACTGCCTTGCTGTGGGGACAGGAGAACACCAGTTCAAGAAAAAAAGCAGGATCTTGAGAGGCATCATCTTAAAGTAAATTGTTTTATTGCTATACCATCAGATGCCTCAGTGCCACCAGGGTGTCTAAAAGTCAGGAGTTTAACTACATCTTGTAGCAAGAGAGAGCTGACCTTGACCTTTCACATCAGGTGAAATGAACCCAATCTCAAATTGCATTTCCATAATGGTTTGGGGCTTTTTGTGAGTTTTTTTAATTTTCAACATGTTTTAATTTTTCCCTTAAATTGTCTGTGCCTTTGTGACTCATAGCTCTAAATCAATTTATTTTTACTATGAGCAGTGACTCCAAGTTGCTTCGGTTTTCAAACAGAAGTGTATTTCAGAACCATCTCCTTGGAAATCTGTAAGGAGTCTGCATGCAGAACAAAGAACTCCAGGTTTGTCAATTCTGCTCCAGGGATTAAAATTTAAAAGGCTCAGCTTCTCCCTTCAAAGCTTTTTCTTGCCATGTTTTTATGAGAAGGTGGCCATCTCACCCTTGCCAGAAATCCAACCACTGCTAGGATGGTGTGTGGGACAGAGTTTATTTGTAAACAGGGACAAGAGGCAATGTTTTGGGAAGGCAGTGCAGGTAATGAGAGTGTTTGCATTCACGAAAGAACTGCGGCTGTGTGTGGGCACATGTGAGCTCGTACTCTTGAAAAATGCAGCAGCCTATAATTGGGTTATGGATCATAACACACTAAAAAACTGTGGCACTTCGGGAGGATGAGCTGTGCACCAAGCACTCATTGTCAGTGCTGCCATTTCTCAGCTGATTCACCTGGAGGAGGAAGTGGCTCTGGCATGTAATCAATACCCTGAGTGAGAAAAGTAGAGGGAAGCTTGCCATAGCAGCAGGACCCCTTATTAGAAAGAACATAACCTATTCTTATTCTTCGAGATGATCTAAAGGGCACAGCCTGCATATCCTGACACTGTAAGTGATAAAAAGCTAATTTCTGGCATTGAAGTTCAGTGCTGAGGTGAGGGGAAAATGTTCTTGCGTGCTGGAGTTTGAACCAGTGGCGTCAAACTTACCTCACTGACTTGCATCACGATCACCATGCACTTTCCCAAATATCTTCCTGGAAATATAGGATACAGTCATTGTGCCCCTGTATTTTTTACTGCTGGTAGGGACACCAGTGATCCATGGCTTGCTCCTGAGAAAAAAAGTGCAGCTCTCAGCACAGTGTACTTCTGGCTCCTACATGCGACTGTAGCATCATAAAAGGCTGTGAAATGTCATGGCAGAGCCTGCAAAGTAGGAAATTACAAAACATTTTGCATTTCATTTGCAGTAAGTTGCACAGTAAGGCAAGCTTTCGACCAGTAGCAAAGTCAAATATAGTTTGCCCTGGAAGGATGTTGATTTGTTATCACTGAGAAACTCAGAGAATAGATCAGACAATACTTTTTTAGGACTCATTCCCCAACTGATCCTGCCCAAACACATGATTGGACAATACTTTTTTAGGACTCATTCCCCAACTGATCCTGCCCAAACACATGATTGAACCATATGACCTCCTAATATCTTCTTTTTGGGCTGCTTTTTTGTGTTTCTGTGATCTTTCAAAGCTGACTCTGGGCTTTAACCCCATATATCCCACTCAGACTAAGGGGAAATTTGTGTACAAGCTCCATATTTGCCCTGTAAAACCTATTGACCAAAACAATCCTATCTGCAATCCATCAATACATTATATGCCACACAAACATATTTTTCAGTGTTATTTATTTTCATAGTAGACCTTGATTTACAGAACATAGAACAGTTTGAGTTGGAAGACACCTTTGAAAGTCATCTAGTCCACCCCCTACAATAAGTATGGTTGTCTTCAACTTCTCTGGGAAGGTGAATTTTCATGATGCAGCTCTGAAGGGAAGAGATACTCTCTGGTGTAAACCAGATTAGAGAGTATCAAGATTAGAGAGGCCATCAGTTGCTGGCCCAAATTCATTTAACTATTCTGTTGCACATTCAGCACCACAATACCCGTGGGGGCGTTTCAAGCACTGCAGATTTGCTGGAGAAGCTTTTTGTCTTTTCTCTAGGCTTGAGAATGAGAACTACTTGAGGGAGAGAACAAGGTGTAGAAAATCCAGTCTGTCAGAGATCATGTAAATGCCTCAAACAAGAGAGGTAACAGGGACTTTGTTGAGGAGCAATGTGTGAGCAACGCTGCAGCCAGGTCCAGGCTCTACTGTTCTCACAAGTGTGTTTGTGAAAGAAAAGCAGCTTCAAGGGATAATTATAAGCAAAATTTAGATACATTATGTGGGGGGAGGGATGTTTGAAAGCATCAGGAAAGAGTAGAAATTCACAAATTTTTGAAAGGTGTAAGAATCTCAGGAAGAGTGTTAATTCTGAAGTTCAGTGAACCACAGGATGGCACCACAATTTTTTTTCCCAGCAATGGACAAGTCTGAGGCAAACACCAGGTGAAAAGACCAGCTGTAAAACAGTTTTCTCCAGTTTGCAGGCTGGAAAGGAGACGTGGCCATCTCAGAATGGATATTTACAAGGTACTTCAGCAGGAGCCACACAGCTCTGCAGACAGGCAGGCTCTACTGTACAGGTCTTGATAATTTAATACAAAAAAGAAGAATTAGTTAAGGGTCCTAATGACAATTTTTATTTGTTTTTCACATAAGCAAGGGCAGAGCTGACAGCTAACAGAGATACTATTTAATACACTATCAGCTCAAGAGACTTCAACACTTCCATTCTTTCAAAAGTGGCGAGAGTGATGAAAAGTATACAGTTCCCAGATTCCCTGTTCTAACTCTCAGAAATTAGCAGAGATCTGCTCCTGCTTGAAATTTTGCTGTAGGTGGGAAAAGCAGGAAGTGCTCACTGCTAATAGAAGTCAGAAACATCCCAGGTACCAGAGTTTTGACACAGCAATAACCTATATCACAATGTTCTTTGCTGTTTTAAACAACAGTGAGAAGAGCAGGGAGACTTCAAGTTGCACTGAAATTATGGGCAATTAATTTAGCAGCTGCAGGAGAGATGTGAGGGAAAAAAGTAAAAAGGCCAGGAAGCAGGAGGCTGATGTTTGATTGGAACCTGGTTGCAAGGGGTAGTCCCTCTCAGCTGAGGGCTGAGTGGCAACAACTGTACCTTGTAAATCTGATTTTCCAGCAGAAGAGCCCTCTGCTCATTTAAACCCTGGAGTTCAGTCAGCTTCTACTCCTCAGAGGAACGGCTGAAATAGCTGTGCTGTCTCTTTTAGAGAAGGAAAATAGGGTTTTTTTCTACGTGTCAGTGTAAGTATAAGGTCTTGGGCTGTGTTTCTGTTGTTTGTTTTGGTTACTTTAATGGCATGTTACAGAAAAAAAAATCAAATATCCTCTAATAGAGTATTACTTATATCTGCTTGGAGGCTCTTGTGCACTTGTAGTATAGTCCTAAACCTAATTGCAGTGGTATTTAAATTTTAATTTAAAGGTAACTTATTTATCTCTTTACAGATAATACATCTGAATTATGTATCTCTAATATAGATGTCTTCCACTTCCTGGTATATATTTGAGAATTAAGTCTTTTAAGAGACATAGTTAAAAGCAGTCACTTCTTTAAAATTACTCTGAACTTCTTTGTATTTTTTTTTTTTAAGTATTCATGTGGCTAAGGACATGTTCATTAGAGTAAATGTTACTACTTGTAGAAATATTAGAAAAATAAACTTAGTTTCACATGAGCAGAGGCAAGAGCTCTAAGCTGCTGCCATGCAGGCAGCTTGTAATAAACCAGTTTAAATGCAGCTCTTAGTATTTATGTTTAGTTCAGTCTAGATTAATAATTACTTATATATAATTTTATTCCTTGCTTCAAAAGGTTATACAAGTGTTAAGTGCTAGTGAGGCCTGCTGCTGTTTTGGGGAAAAGGAATTAATTTTTCTATGTAATAAATCACTTAAAATCTGATTCTTGGGAACTTCACCTAGCTTCATTTGCATTTCATTTTCATTATTGTTATTTAATACTATAGCTCCATAATCTCAATGTCACTTCCAATGGGCTCTGTTTCCCCTCTTGTTTCTTCCCAATGACAAGGATTCAGCCAAGCTGGCAATGCCTGTTCTGGAGCTCTGCCCTGGGTCTGCTGAGGGCATCCCTCAGTAAGCATTCTTGCTGCTGGTGTTTCAGCAGATGCTGCTTTGGTGGGTCACAAAGCTGTGGGTGAAGCCCCCATTGTCCCTTGGAAGCTTCCAGCTGATCGGGTTGCAGTGTGCAGGGTAGACATGGAAACCTCACTGGGAATGAGGATTTATCTCTGCAAAATGGACCTCCCGTGCCTTAGTCACATGCAAATATGCTTATCTTGTAGGAAATATCTTTTTAAGTGTTGCCTGGGAGAACAGTTAATAAAAATACACACAGAATGAGGTGTCTCTGTAGGGCATATTTCTTGTGTAATTCCCAATGTGGCATCATGACAGCTGTGGCTGGTTAGTACAAGAAACACTGGATTCTGGAGATTTTTGTTCTTGTGGGCTCACAGAAATGCTGCAACTCTTGTTGGTCTCACTTTTTCTGCCTCACTCCAGCCATCCTCAGTACAATTAAAGTGCTTCCTTTAAATTAAAAAGTCCTCTACTGATTTGCAGGGTATTCCTCAGGTTTTTTTTTTTCTTCTCCCTCTCCTCCCTGCCATAGTTATGGTATTTTAGAATTAGCAGTGAGATTTTAGGAAGTATTTCTGTCTTTCTACCCCAACTTTTCCACATCAACCTCTAGTTCCCTGGACAACAAAGTGTCCTGGCTGAAGGTTTCTGTTACAGCTCACAGCTGTAAGTGGAACAGGGGTTTTCAAACCCCTGAATGCTGAAACTCCAAACTGTCTGCTGAATGGAAAAATTGTCATAAGTATGTGTGTGTTGATCACCCTGACTCTTGTATCTTGTGCCTATTCTTTCCAGATATTTGGCAAGAGAAGGGAGATGGTGAAGCCTTTTGAACGTGGAGCTAAGAAACGGCACCACAACCCCGTGGACAGCATCTGCAGGAAGATCAAATCCATCCAAATGATGGACCAAGTCTCCAACCCGGCTTTGCAGATACCAAAATTTCAGTCCCAGAGCTTTGACAGCCCACAGAGCAGTACCAAAAAAAATCTGGAAGAATTACTGAAAGGGAGAACCTGCAGAAGTCAGGAGAGTACTTGTTTATCCTTGGTCAGCCCTGACAGAGACAGCATTTTCTCTGCAGACTTGCCTGGTCCTGGGGCCACCTCTGGCTCCTACTCTGCAGAAGCCACCCTTCCAATCCTTAAAAGCAGTGAGCGATCCAGCAGCTCATGGATGCCTCCATATCCCGTGGAGAGCTCTTCTCCATACTGCTTTGGGCCCAGGGAGGCCAGTGCCCAGAACAAACAGTGTGCTCTAGCAAATGCTGAACCTAAAGATGTGCAGCCCAAGCAGAAGTATCTGACATCAAGTCCAAATTATTTCTTCACATCTGAAAAAAATCCAGAAAGTGCTGTGGTCCAACCTCCTATGCCAAAGACATTTCTTTCAAGTGAAAGAGGTAAAAATCCTGAAGAAAAATACCCTCTCATTCATAATCCTAGACATCTGAACATTCAGCCTGTGTAGATGACACTTATTTACCAGTTAAACTTATAACAACGCATTTTAGTAGTGCTCAAATGTTAGAAGACCGCAAAAAGAGCTGAGGCAAATCTTAATTTTTCTCTAAAAAGTATTAATATCAGTGTAAAAAGTGAGGAATTGATAAGGCCAAAACTTTTTCATATTTGCTAATACATCTTTGGTTTAAGAGATAAAGGTGTTTTAAACAGTTTAAGAGACTGAGACTACTCTTTGGCTAGTACTATAGCATTGTTTTTAACAGCCAAATTTTATTTGGCTCCTAATCTAGCCTATGTATTAACTATCAGACAGTGTTTGAAGATACAGGAGTCTGGATGTTGCTCTTAGTTTGGTTTTTTGTGGTTTTTGGAGGGGAGGGGTTGTATGTTTGTTTGGGGGATTGTTTTCTTAATAGCATAAATAGTATTCTTAATAATTAAGAATATATAATATTGTATTCTTAATACAATATATCTGGGGGGAGGGAAGAAATACCTGGCCTCTTCAAGTGTCCTGTTTCATGTGTGTACTCCATAGAAAGAATAAACAAGTTTTTACAAAAAGACACATATAAAGGTAGATGCATGGAGTACTTCCCAGTACTTCCCAGAAGCTCCAGCTATGACTAGTTCCTGTTGTTTAACCAGTTGTTTAGCAGTGAAAGCTGTGTTTAGTGGAGGGGAAGCTGGTTAGTTAGTTTTGTTGTTTCAGTCATCTGGAATGAAAGTTACCATGAGCAAATAAAGATGGGCAAAAACAGATTTATTCCCCACAGGAGGGAGACAAACTCAGGGGTACAAAGCCAACAACATGTACGATGTGAGCTTGATCTGTGAAGAGGACCTGCTGACCACCATCTTCTGTGCATGTGACACCAACCACACAGGTTTGCCAGGGTTTTTTCATTACTTTTTTGTTCTCCTCTTAACAGATTTCCATGGTTCAGATCATGTTTTGGTCCCTGAGAGATGCCAAGCTTTGAGATATGTAGGTGCCCGTGTTGTGGCAGGTGAAGAATAAACGTGGAAATGCCCGTGCCTCTTTTGCATGGTGCCTGACCATTCCCCTGCTGATCTTTGCAGTGCTTTAGCACAGGGGAGAGAGAGAGGAGAGACAGGTTTCTAGCAGCTACCCTTATTGCAAACAGCTGTTTCTTTCAGCCTTTATCCTGTGAGAAACTTGGGAAACTTCAGAGCAAAATACAATTCCTTCCAGTTCCACCTCAGATATGACTAAAAGTGGTAGAATTGTGGAATGATTTGTGTTGGAAGGAGCCTTAAAACCCATTCAATTTCCATCCCCCTGCTGTGGGTAGGGACACATTCCCTATCCCAGGTTGCTCACAGCCCCATCCAGCCTGGCCCTGAAAGAAAGGATTAGTATCACATGTCACCTTTTTTTCCTCTTAAACTTAAGTCCACAAAACTAGTAAACTGGATTTTTACATAGAAAAAAACCCACCACTACAAAAAAAAATCTCAACCCAATAAAAAAGAGCTCTAACTATTTTTTTTTTCCAAGATCACACTCTAACTACAGGAATCAGTTGCTTGTCTGCAGATCTTGAGGGCAATTGGACTCAATGCAGTTCAGTAGTAGGGCCTTTTATAGTTTTTTATGGTGCCTTACTAGGCTTTGGAGTTTGACTCCTGTTTCTGCTTTAGGAAAAGTGGCAGTGTCCAAGATAGTTGATTATTTGAGACAAACGACCAGCCGGGGATCAGAGGACAGTGGTCTTGAAGAGCTGTGCAACATGCTTGACCCAGAGCACAAAGATATCTCTTTGGACCTGGAAAAGTATCACACCATCATGGGAGAGTGGATTGAAGACTGTAAGAGAAAATGGTAGCAGCATTTTAATAAATCTATCTCATAAGTCTTCTGTGAAAACAGGAGATTATAAATTTCCCCTGTGTCTCTGGAAAGAAAATGGTGTTGGGACACCATGCCAACAACATTGCATTTGGCTAAAGTTTTAGAAGTGTCACAAAGCTGGTCAACAGCCCAGTTTCCTGCTGACTTTGTAACCTTTGATGCTTTTTTCTTTCAGGGAAGAAGGTGCTACTGAAGAATCATCAGCAAGCACAGAAGACCTGGAACTTCAAACACCTAAAAACATCTCTGAAGGTGCAGAACATTTTACTCTGTTTCTGTTCAGGAAAGCTTCTCTTTCTTGGTCTATAACCAAACCCCTCACCTCTTTCAGCCAAAAAGACCCATGTCTGGATGGATGTTACATCGGGAAGCCTGGAGGCCTTTGGGGGTGATGTATCTAAAGGAGACATGTGAGTCCATTTAAGCAATTCTTTCTCAGAATAATGTACTTCTGTCTTTGAACCACTTGACAGAAGTGCCAAGAACCTTTATTGTGGAATGCTATTATTGCAGATTTTAATGCTCACCTCAGTCTGCAGGAGTTCTTGATACTGTCAACTTCTTCACAGGTTCTGCTCAGACTTAAAATAAAACCAGTGTTTTTTAGCACTGCTACCTTGGTGTTTCTGTGCCTGTTTGCCATTTTAATCTGTGGTCAGATGTTTGTCATGTCTTTCCCTGTTTAAACTGGTTCTGTGTCTCCACCAAATTCTTAGTTGTCTGACAATAAGAAGACATACTGTCCCAAAAATCTTATCTTGGGTTTTGTTTTGGGCTTTCTTATGATAGGCAGATTGTTGAGGGTTTTTTTGTGGTACTAGTAATGTCTGTGACTTGGACTCTGTTAATGGCAAAGCACCTAAGGAAGAACAGAAGTATAACTTGCAGTTTATGCCTAGTCAGAAATCCAACATCTGCTCTGTAATGCTTCCCTATAATTTCTCAGGATCTCAAAAGAATAATCCTCATTCAAGTTTTGGTTGAAAGCATGAAGTGGGGGTTGGCCTGGGGGAAAAGAAAGGACACAAATTGCAGAGTGAATACAGAGGCATTGTTAGTGGCCCATGGGGGTGACTTGCAAAATGTTAAAGCACTCTCATGCAGACATCCAGCTGTGGCACTTTCTGACAGCAAATTCAATTGTAGGGAGAAGAAAAAGTGCTTAAAACCAAAACTTTTGTGCCTATAAAACTAGAGAATTGACTTGGAGATGCTCTCCTATGTCTGTGCAGAACAAATGACTGGACACTGCAGCATCACAAGCTGTGCTCTCCTCTCACCTCTAACCAGTGCAGTAGGATGTTTTAAAGTCTGAAGTAGATGAAATCACCTTTCTCACCCTTTCCTGGCAGGGAGACCTCTGACTTGATAACCTGTGTTGCGGACCTGCAGTACAACAACCAGAAGCTGCAGGAGGAAAACAACAAACTGAAGCTCACCATAGAAGCTGTGGATGAGGCCAACAGCAAGCTCCTGGTAGATAATGAGCATCTACATCAAAAATTAAAAAGGTGGGGGACCCTGATGGCACCAGGCCTACCATGGACAGAGCTTTGATTTTCCAGTCTTGCTTTCATGCTGTTCTCCTCACCATTGCTTCGTCACAGTGGCTTTCTTGGCTTTATGCAGTATCTGTAAGGTTTAACCCTCCTGCCTGATGTTCTGCTCCGTCCTTCCTGGTTCTTATAAAATCATTCATCACAGAGTCAGGTTCCTGCAGCATGTGGTGGTGTGGGTGCACACAGGAAGAATCTCAGGCTAAGGCAAACAAATGAAACAACAACATTAAAATAAAAAGCCTAATATTACCAAGATAAGAGCCAAGCACTGGAAGGCTTCCAATCCTAGACCACATTCTTTTTGCCAAGCAGAGGAGAAATGAGTGTCTAAAAGCTGTTTTGCTACTCATTTGATGGACTGAGGTGAGTTGTGTCACTTGTGTAGCCTTTCTGTAGCCTGAGGAGACATCGGTGCCATGAGCACAAGCCCATTTTTCATTCTGTTGATCTGGCCGAATTAATTACACTGTGATATGGTTTGGTCAGCTGCCAAGCTGTTCCCAGGGTTTTCAGGGGAGATTAAGGCAGGAGTTCTGCAGGGAAGCAGGGACGTGTGCCCTTACGTGGGACCACATGCTCTGGGATGCTCTGCAGGATCAAGATAGCTTGGAAAAGGGCCTTGCCTGTTGCTTTACTACATGGTTCGGAGTTTATCAGATGAGGGTAAGAAAATGCTACAGAGCTCATCATTGAATACTCAGCTGAAATGGTTTACCCTACTGTAAACCATGAAGTGTTGTAAAGATAGATTTGTGCTCAGGTAACATGATATATTTAACTGTGTGTAGTGGTTTAGGTTTTCCAATGTGAGTTTCCCAGCTAATGCACTGAATAAAAGAAAATCAAGCTAAATTTTTACCATAGCTTTGTTTGCATCCACCTGTCTTGGATGGGGTTTCACCCCTCACTGTAAGAATGGAAAGGGGTTACAAATAGGAAGTAGAACCATGAGCTTTTGCTTCCTGGACAGAAATGATGGGCTTAAACTTGATTGTTGCTCTTCTGTTAAGTGTCTGTGCCAAAAACTAAGTCCCTGGTGGCTTCTAGAAATACTCTATTTCCAGCCTATCTAAACAATCAGCACTAACTGGCTAAAGTTTCTCTGGATTTGCTTCCTCCTGTGCAGTATCCAGCACTCTGTGTTGAAGGCCAAATCCCTGGAAGAAGAGCTAGAGGAAGCAAGAAGCAACCTGAACCTGTCAGAAGAGAAGAGAGAGCAGATTCTTTGTCAGAACAAACAGCTGGTAGGTGCTCTCCCTTCCTGTTTCCCTTTTACAGCACCTCACACCTTGCTGTAACAGTGGTGTGGCTGCTCAGGCTGTAGAAAATCAGAACTTTCCTGTACCTACAGTGGAGGCTCATGAGCTGCACCAGCCTCAGTTCTCCCCTTTTTGTGTGCTCTCTGAAACAAAGGGATTCAACACTGCTCTGGATGTGTTTGTCATCTGTTGCTTTTTGGCTGTTGAATTTTACATGCTAAAACCACCTCTTCTGTTTTTTTCTTTTTCTATTTTTTTTTTTTTTATTTTTCCCTAAAAGGAAAAAGAAAATCAGTCTCTCAACATCAAAGTTACTTCTCTCCAGGAAGAGGTAAAATAAATCATGATTTGACATGATCTTGCCTAGCTAAAATTTGCCATTAGGAAATGAAGTGTTTGTCAGACTTTGAAGCCTTGCATGCTAATTAGGTTACCAATATATCTAACATTTTAAAGGGCTGATTTTTCATAGAACTTTATATCTTGAGGTTGCCCTCTGGTTTATTGTCCACTTGATGGGTAAGTAAGAATCTGAGGTTAGGGAAGCATAGGGACAGAGACAAACTCCTCCTCCCCCTGACCACCTTTTTTCCAAGATTTATAGGCGAATTCCATGTATTTCTGGTTCTCACAGCTATAAATACACAAACTCTATATTGAAACAATCTCCATCCAACACTTTATCATTTCATGTTCACTTCTGTTTTCCTCCCTTAAGAGCCAAAGGAGCAATCTTGTATGGAGCTGTAACACCAAAAATACATAATAAAAATTATAAAAAAATCACAGTGGGTGTGGTCTTCACTAACAGACGGATCCATTGACATTGGCCAGGGACCTGCAGGAGAATGCAGCTCCATTTGCAGAGTATCCCTAGGCTTGTTTTTTATACAGAGAAGAGGTTTGTTTTTTTTAACTGCATCAGAGAAAATATTTTACAAATCAGTTTTTATCAGGTGATAAAATGTTTTGATGCTTGCTTACAGGCAGTATTGACTATTCAGGGGGAAATGGAGAAACAGGTTAAATCAAACAATAAAGAAAAGAATCACCTTAAGATGATTAAGTCTTAAGTCACCTTAAGTCTTTCTGCCAAAGCTCCTTAGTCCAAATAGGTATTAAACCACATTTTTCTGAAAACAATTCTCATTCTGCAGGGCTGACTTTTCTTTAGCTTTCCAGATCTGGTAGTGGTTATAAATTAACATTTTGAGGGGTTTTCTCTTTTACCAGTTCTCTGGGTGGGAAAAGAAGCAGAAGCAATTTTGGTGGGGCAAACACATGCAATGTATGTGCAAAAGTGCTGGTAGTGCTTGAGAGTAGGCAGCAGCTTGGGGGTGGAGATGTCATTTTTGCCTGGCTTCTTCAAGGAGAAGCTGTCAATCTATTCAGCTGTGCCTAAACACTCTGTGTCTTGTTTAGATTATTAGGAACAGCATGGACACCAACAGGCTGCAAAAGAAGATTTTGGAGTTGTCTAAAAATGCAGCACAGCTTCAAGTAAGCATTTCAAAGCTGAGAGGAATAAAAAGTCAACCTGGATTTTACTTGGGTCCAGTGAAGGGGGAATTCCTGCTGCTGGAAGGCAAACAGCCCTGAACCTCTCTATGCTGAAGGACTGCAGTGAGATAGTAGTTTGAGTGTGACATCTTTCACAAAGGACATTGCTGTCTGGAGGCTAAAAACTAGGCTGAGAGAAACAATACTCAAATTCATTCTTTCCTCCAAGTTAAGCTTTTTTTGGATACCTTTCTCTCACTATTCAAGAAAATACATTAAGGTCATGCTTTGAGAGATATTGCTGAAAATATTGACCTGGACAGGTGAGAGGAAACAAAGGTGACTAAAAGTTGAGAATGCTTTCACTCTTTGCTGGGTATAAGATCTGTACTTTGAATACCTTGCATGGTGTTTGTTTCAAAGACAACTTTGATTTTTCTAAGTAAGGAACACTGATAATTTTTTCCCTTCCTAGCAGGAAATGGGAACAGATTTTCATTATAGTCCGTATAAATATCTGGGCTTAATTTTGATCTTTTTGTTCTTCAGATCCAAGCACGTATCTCTGAGAGCACTGTGGTGAATAAAGAGGCAAGCCTGATCCAGGTTAGTTGCTTTTACTTCATTACTAACTAAAACCCACAAAATCACAGGATAGTTTGGGCTGGAAGGGACCTTAATGATACCTTGTTCCAACGCCCTGCCATGGGCAGGGGCAGCTTCCACTGGCCCAGGGTCCCAGTCTGTAATGATGGGATGATTTGTAAAAAGACAAGGCAGTAGTATTCACTGTGGCACTTTTACTTCTACTCTTCTCACACTGCAGAACCTGATCCTATAAATGGCTTCAAAGTAGGCGAGCTCTACTTTAGGACCTGGTTATGAGTCAGCATAATGAAAGGTTTCAGGATTTTTCTTTTTTTTTTAAACACAGCCTATTAAAACAAACTTGTAAGCTTCAGACAAAACGTCCAGAAACTTCTAAAGGCTACTTTGCTCAGCAGAGACTTATAGAAGGTCTTTCCATTCATGTCTTTTACTTAAATTGTTTATGTCAAACTGGAAATGGTGACTTGGAGTCCAATAGAGAAGGAAATTTGTCCATTTATTGCTGAGGTATAATTATCTAGGCTTTACTGAGGAGTGAACTTTTCTGATGTTTTTAAACATGCATTTTATACTAGAAGACAAAGATAGAAGACCATACAAATGTGCTGGCATTCTCTAGATTAATGAATTATGCAATGAGCCTTCTATGCCAATGGAGTTTCTACTTAGCAGAACATGCTATAAATCTCCTGATAAAATATTTGACTGTTGGGCTCCCTGCAAACTGACTGCAGTTGAATTCAAATAGTAAAAAAGAGAACTGAACTTCAGTGTGATCCAGCTGATAACTTTGTAGCTGAGTGTTTTAATAGCTTTGGTTTTGTTGGTTGTTTTTCCAGAAGCAGCTTAAAGGCACAGATTTATTAAATTCTTTTTTAAAAACAGCTTTCACTTTCTTCTACTTGAATGATTCAAAGTTTTTGTGAGCTCTGTAGTATCACTTTATTTCAACAAGACTCTCTTTGTCTACAGACTAAATGGGGATTTTGAAAGTAGACCACTAGATTATATGTGGATAAATGTGAGTGGCTGGTATAGTTTTGAAGAAATTGGTATGGAAAACTGACTTGGCTTGTTGGCATTAGGATAATCTGGTTCTGCAACCTCACTTTCCTGCCTAGCTTTCTGTGTCCTTCATCTCTTTCAAAAACCTCAATGATGTTTAAAAAGAGAGTAGGAAGAATTCATAAAAGTGTGAGAGGACAAGAGCTCCTACTCTGAATTCCTGTTTTCTTTTATAAATTCTCTGCTGTCTGTGCAGTGTCTTTTATTGGAATGGTGTAAGCTGACTGGAGCTCATTGCTAGCTGCTAAGAAAGCAGAAGAACCAAAAAATTGGTTCTTCTACCAATTTCTCAGTCCTACCATGAGGACTGATGCTTTTTCAGCCTTTGTAAGGTTGTATTTAATCTACAGAGTGCTACACTCTAATAATGAAGAATAAGTAAACTCAGAACATTGCAACTTGTTCAAAGGGTCAGTTGGGATTAAAACTCATGTGAGCATGTAATAGAAGCCATATTTTAAGATAAAACTAGAGCACTTCTGTCTAGTTTAGTCTGTTGGACCTAAAACCAGGTGAGTAATAAATTGAAGTATAGCACCAGGAAAAGAGGACTTGTCTCCTTAATTTCAGAATTTAGGTAGGAAAGGTCATCTGAGTGCTTTCTGTTACTTAATATGCAAGGTAACTCACTGTATTCTTTTAAGTTCACAACTATTTTTATGTCATAATCAGGCTGCTGCCCAAGCTAAATCATACATTTTACTGCTGTGATGAAGGCTCAAATATAAATTTTTTGTTGTTGTTCTTTTCTCAACAATCTCTGCAGAAGGAGCAGGACATCAAGGATCTCAAGTTAACCATTGTGGAGTGTTCCTCGATAATAGAGGTATGGGTTGGGTTTGGTTTGGCCTGTGCTGATTCCACATGGCAAAGTCAACCTCTAACCAAACCCATGGATGTTTTAGATACTGAAGGCTGAAAGAAATAAACTGCTGGAGAACATCCAACACATGCAGCAAGAGCTGATCTCGTGAGTATTGTGGCCAAATCCAAGGAAAGGCAATTCATTAGAAATCCAGACTGGCCTGATGCATAATTTTTCCTGCTCTTTTTAGGAATGGGTTGAGTTTCCCACTGTGTAAATTTAACAGCTATATTCCTGAAGAGATGAATTCACTGCACTGTGAACTGGAGCTTGCACAGTCTTCTGAGGTATGAATTAAACCTTAGTCTCTTCCCAGTTGTCTTGCATCATCAGAGGCAGAACAAAGGTCATTCCCTGTAGATGATTAGGGAACTCTGGAATTTGAAGCCATTAATTCTAACATGTAAGCACAGAATGAGAAGGTTGCAATATTGCTTCAAGCACCTTGGAGAAGGTCCAGAGAAGAGCAAATACTTGTAGATATAAAATATTAGCTCATAGTATCCTAGAATGTCCTGGATTGGAAGGAATCTTAAGGATCATTCAGTTCTAACCCTCCTCTGCTCTACAAAGTAAATCTGGAGGAGCTTGGGTCATGCATTTGGCTGGCAGAACAGACTGATGGGAGAAGGTATCAGTTTTCCAATATATAAAGGCTTTTATGCTGCAGAAACTAGCTGATAGTCTGCTTCTTGTACTGCCTACACCAGACGTGAACAATGATTTTTTTTTTCAGTTGTGAAAGAGGAGACTTCTTTTTCTTTCAAGTTAAATGTAGTCAGAAAGGAAATGAAGCATTAAAATGAGCATATTATTGGGTCCTAATCTAATGTATTGTCAAGAAACTCTGATAAGCATTGCTGATGACAAATCAAGTATATTTAAATGAATAAAATATTTATGTAAATATAGAAGATAATGCTTCAACTAAAAGACTTTAATCAGAATAATTTATTAATAACTACTTGTACAGTGCACTAGCTATTAAACCAATGATTTCCAAGCTAATAATTGTTAAATAGTTTATTACTCACCCATGTTGAGTGATTGCACCCATGGGCAAATCTTCAGCTTTGAGAAGTAATTTTGAGGGGTATTCCCTCTTGAAGGAGAGATCTCCACAAACACCTTGCTAGAAAGGGGTATGTCAGAAGCCCCTGACTTTAAAAAGTGGGACTGGGTTTGTATGGTATAAAGTGATTGACTGTCAGATCTTTCCAGGTTCAGTTGTGTTCTTTGTCAGGAGCTTCGCCTGCCACTTCCTCACTGGTACCTGTTTCTGTCAGGAAACATTGTTCTTCACATCCTCAGAATTTTTAATTTGGGGATCAAGGAATCAGGCAGATCTTTGCATTATCCAACACCAACAGCAGCATGATCTCTCCCCTTATCAATCCTCCACTAATAATTTTTGCAAGTATAGGGTATTGTTGAAGCTGTCTTATACCAGTTTTGGCAAAGCATCATGATACGCTTATGGCTTTGGTTCTGAATTTAAACTGAGTTATTCTGTTCCTATTTCCTTAGACAATCCATGGAATCCCATTCTTCCCTGTGTTCTGCTTTCCCTTCAGCTACAAGCTGTGCAGCAGAGATGACAGCAGAGAGATGCTGCTGAATGATTTCTGCTTATTTTTGTACGAGGTGCATTTGCAAAGAGTTAGCATATATAGCAATGACAATAAAAATGTACAAATGGACTAAAACTTCAGGCCCAGAAAGGAGAGGTGGGCTTGGCTAGGCAGCTTTGAAGAGTCAAGGTATCATCCCATATTACAGCTCCCCAGAGCCCCAGTGAGTCACTGTTTGCCCTTCAAACACTGCAGTGAGACACGATTCCACCGAGTCACCTGTAAGCAAGGGCTCTGCTTATTCATCACTTAGTAAAGACTCCTCTGAATAAAGATAACTAATTACTGACTTCCTCTTGCCTACCCTGACATGAATATTTACACTGGATCACTCAGCAGCTTGGCTGGCTTGCTTTTTTTTTTTTTTTAATCTTCATTGATGTGATGGTTTTGAAAAGGCTTTTCCAAGCCTCAAGTTTCAGTAGCTCTGACCTTCCGGTAAATACAGAGCAGGACTACTTCAGGAAAGTCTAAATGTCACTGATGCTGGTTTGTAATAAGGGGATGTCAAAACAACCTAGCTGGCTGTTCTGTCTCTTCAAAGATTATCAGGACTGAAGGGACATCCCTGGATGAAACACTGGACCGTGAAGTGCTGCTTTTGCTTCAGGGGCCTGAATATGCAGGAGAAAAATTCAAGACTATCATGCAAAACCTGGTCAGTGGCAAAGCTTACATGGATAAGGGTGTTGTCTTTGATCAGCAATTTAAGCAAGCATTGATAATCAGATTGTTTACTCCTTTTGGAAAAATAAGAATAGTTTGAGATTGGAGGGGGATCACAGTTTAAAAAGATCACTTAGCTACTCTAACACTATATCCTGGGTAATTCTGGGCAGACTTGTTCTAGATGAGCACTAAAAATGCTGGAAGCATTCAGTGAAATGGTGGAGCAGTGAAGAACTTCAGGTGGATGTCTTGCTGCTGCATGCTGTGTATATTTATTACTGGAGATCAGAGTCCATCTGTGGGTCAGAGATGGCTGCATGGAGAGAAAGATCTTTTGCTGGGGTTTTTTGAGGAGGAAAAGGATGATTGCTATTCACTTATATGCTGTGCTCTTTCTGGCTTGTCTTGTGCAAGAGCTCCCTTAGTTAAAACTCTGCTTGAAGGAAAGCTGAAGCAGGTCAATTAGCAGAGGAGACTTTGGCACCAAATTTCCAAATCAAAACCTCCATAGAATTATTTTGTTGTGAAAGGCAAAGAGTTCTGCTTCTACTGAATATATTCCACAGGAAAAATTTCAACAAAACCTTGTTTTACAGCTTAATCTTGCATGATGTATTTCTCCTGTTCCTCATACCTGTAGTGAGGCTTGCAAGCACAGACTTTTGCTCAAGGTACTGATAAAAATGTCCTCCTGACATAACTGAACACTCTTGGTCCCTCCTTCTCTCCCCTATAACAGCACAGTTTCTGGTTTATGTTTTTACATAAAATTTCAGTCTTATTGGATCTGACTTTTTCTCTAACCTGCTCCTTTCTGCTCATCTGTTGCTAGGAATGCTCCAACAACCCTAAGATGTACATTAATGCTGTTTTCCAGCTCCCTAATGGATGTCAAACCCCTCAATTCCTCTCCCTTGGGTGACAGCAGGTGCCACCAGGGGATGTGCTGCTTGAGGATGTTGGTTCTTTGGGTGGAAAACTGCCCTTCTGTTTTCCTTTAATGCTGAAGAATGGTGTAGCTGGGCCTCCTAATGTTTTCTGGGCAGGGCTGGAGCAATCACTGGGAGCCATCCAGTCCTGGAGCCTGTTTTTTTATAATTTTTCTTCAGGTAAATCCTGAAACCTTCCCCTTAAGAGAAGGTGCAATCATCTCGCTCTCTTCACCCAGATGTGACATTGGGTAGACTCCAGCAAACTGCTGGCTCATGAATTGCTGTAGCTTTTTGATCTTGACTGAAAACCTCCTCCTTTAAAGCTGTCAGAGCTGAAAAATGCTTGTGAAGTTACATTCAGGTTGGGATCATATTCATGTTAAATATGTGAAGCTAAAAAACTTTGGGTGTGGGAGTTGGAGTTGATTGCGGCAATTGAATCCTATTCTGGCTCCTAAAGAATGATGCATTTGGAAATTGAGCTAACAGAGGATCAAGAAAGAGCAAAATCCTTTAAAAATAAAAGGTTCCACCCTTTAGGGTCCTACAGGGGATAGGAAATGACTTCATGTCAAATTATCTTCACCTAGACAGAACAAGTTAGATGTGTGTGAAATTTTGTGCATGGAGCTGAACACCAGTAGCTTAAAAAAAAAAAAAATAATTCAAAGTAGCTTCTTCCAGCCTCAGAGAAAGCACATGGTCCAAGATATAGTTTGTCAGTGAAAGTTGTCACTAGAAGCCTTGCCCACCATTTCTTGTGAAATATATTATGCTTTTCTGTGGTTCAGTATTTTCAAAAGCATTTTAAAGGATATTAGACATAAAGCCAACTTGAAGTGTGCTTATGTTTTTGTGCATATATACATATGTTTAAGTATATATAGTGACAGCAAAAATTTTTCGCCCTTCTACTGGGAGGTAAGACTGGTATGTGTGCCCTGGTTAGCCTATTCCACTTAAGTGTTAAAATAATGGTATTTCTACAAGTGAGTGCTGCCTGCTTTGGCTGAGAAACAGATCCTCAGGATGTGGGCAGTTGTACATGGTCACATCCCATATCATCCTAGGAAACCTATCAGCAAAACCTGCTTTTTTTTCCTTGCTTTTTTTAAAGCATGATACTTGATGTGTTTTGTTTGGTTTTCTTTATTTGAAACTTATGAGCATGAAACTCCAACTTGCAAGCAGATAACATGGCCTGTATTTGTAAGATTGATGTTTTCCCCTTAGAATTTCTGTAAAATCCCAGGAATATAAACTTCATTCTTCCCTGACCTCTGTTTGACTCTCATTACGCATACTTTAAAAGCTGGGGATGCTTTCATGTGCTCAGTTAAGCAAGGTCAGAGAGAGAGCACTGGATTCTTCTTCTCATTACTTTGTACTGCAAGTCACTGTTCAGAGAAATACGAGAGTTCAGTGTTACCTAACACTTAATTTTTACCCTTTTCCTTTCTACAAACCAGAGGTAAATCTAAAAGCCTTTCTGGTGGGGATCATTGCTGGGACAGATCATCATGATTTGTAAAAAGACAAGGCAGTAGTATTCACTACTACTACTAGACAAACAGAAATATGGTTTTACTGATTCTTGATTATTTAATTTATTTTGTTGTAATACAAGCTCAATTTGGTATGGACTCAGTTGTACTTTGAGGAAAGGCCACAGAAGCCTAAATTATCAATTTTAGGGCTTCCTGCAAGATGACTTTTAATAAAACTTCCTCTTACAAGCTATGGTTTTTGTTGCTGTATCTGGGCACCTTGCTGGTGGAGTTTTCTGTCCTCTGATAGTGTGAGGTGTAGGTGGCAATATTAATTGATGGAGCCAGGGAACTCAATTCTCACCATGTAAATTAAGGCTCTGGCTCATTCTCTGGTTCTGCTCCTCCTCTAACCACATGGCAACTTCAAAATTCCACAGGCTCTCAAGCAAGAGCTAGGAGAAAAAAGATGTCTTTGGACACAGAAGCTCCATCTTTTGGAAAAATGCAATGAGTCCTTAGACAAGGATTTTATTCGAGTGGCAGGCAACCTGAGGAGAACCAAGACAGAACTACTTCATCTAAGGAAAGAGCTCTCTGCTAGGTACCCCTTCAATGCCTGTGTGGTTTTTTGCGGGGGGGGGAGTTGAGTTTTGGCTTAGGTTTGTTTTTGGGGTTTTGCTTGTTTGTTTTGATTTGGTGTTGTTTTGGTTTGGGTTTTTTTCTTTCTGGTTGCTTAGCTGTTAAGTATTTTATTTTGGGGTGGGTTTTTTGTGGCACAAAGTCTACTGAATTCTCAAGAATTTTTTTTCACAGAGGAAATGATCTCTTTTGGAGAGTGGATCTGGTTTTAGCACAAGGTCTACACTGTGTGGGAGTTCAGGTTTGTGTCTGGACTGATGTACAGTCTTGGAGGTGTCTTTGAAAACACCAGGGAGACCACAGACAGAAATTAAAGCACAAGGGCTCTGCCTACCAAGCAGGTGCAGCCATTAAAAAAACAGCTGGGTTTGTGTGAAGCAGGAGAGCTCTTAGATATCTGTCTGCAGGTATTTTTGCTTTGGGATACAGTTGCTAGGCTCGGGGAAGATGTCTCAGTTTCCCAAGGATGTAGCTTTAATGCGTTGTCCTTAAATATGGAAATGAAACTTGTTTGACATATGACTTCTTCTGTGAGTTGTGTCCTAGAAATAGGATCATAAAATGGCCTGGGCTGGAAAGGATCTCAAAGATCATCCAGTTCCAAGCCCCTGCCATGGGCAGGGACACTTTGCACTAGACCAGGTTGCTCCAAGCCTCGTCCCTGAATCTGGGATGTCCCTAGAGCTTGGTAGCCCTGAGAGCTGATGCAGAGCAGTTGTACCACACTTTTGCCTGACTTACCTTCCACTGAACCACCTCCTACGTGCTCTCCCTCCACCTGGAAGAGAGCTGATAAAAATACTGATGGCTTGGTTTCTTAAAGCTGTCTCTGTGGCAAAATTGTTTGAGATGAAACCCCCCCCCCAAAAAAAAAAAAAGTTGAATTGAGTTAGAGAGGAAATGGGCAAAGGTTTCTTCAGTGGAAGAGTTTCATTGAAAGCCATCCTCTTTTAGCACTGGTTCTGATGGCATCTGCTTGCTGTCAAGTGAAATTCCTGCTCAAACGCAAAGAAATCAATCCAAAGAAGCAGTAATAGCTCTGGGGTATCTTTTTCTAGAATGACTGACTCCACTTGGTTGATATCCTACCACTATTCCCCCAAACCCTGAGGAAACACATTCTGTTGTCCAAATGGCAAAAGCTTGCTCCACTGAGCTCTTGCTCCTTGACAGTGATTCCCTGTGGTACCCAGAAACATCACAGGAAGCCTTCCTCCCCTTCCTGCTGCTGCTGCAAAAAGTGTGATTCTCTGGCTGCTGGATCCTGGGGAGCTGCAGTGTGAAACAGCTGACTTCTGGTGCATGTCCCAGCAGCCAGAGCGTGTCACCTCCTGGGCCAGACTGCTCCAGAATGTCACCTATGAGCTGTGGTTTGTGCTCTCTCGCCCCACAGACAATGCGAGATAGAAACTGCTAAACAGCTACATGAAGAAACTGCTGGCCAGGCAGAAATCCTACGTTTAGAGCTGCAAAAAGCCACCAAGCAACTGGAGGATGCCAGCAAGCACGTAAGAGGCAGCCCAGTTCCCTCTGTGCAGGGAACCAGGAGATGCCCAGGGCTGTGTCCAATGCATGGCTGCCCTTGGGGAAGGGAGACGTGTTCAGAATGGTGTGCCTCCCTGCAAAAGTGGAACCAGCAGAGGAAGTAAAATTTGAGGGGGTGGTGACAACAGTTTGCTGATGAAAGAGGCAGCATCGCATATTTGTGGTGGCTTCAAAAAAAAGAGAAAAAAAAAGGGCCCAAAAATAGCTTCCATACACAGTCCACCCCAACGTAAAAATGCAGAAGTTCAGAGGGAGCTTTATCACTTCCTGAGAAAGAACAGATGCAGCTTGGTTTCATTTGCATGAACTGTAGAAGCTCCTTGTGCTAGCCAGGCTGCTTTATTTTATTTTTGTTTTTTTTATTCCTTTCTTTTTTCCCTAAATATTGTTTTGTGCTTAGGCAGAGGATCAAGTTGAAGCATTTCACTCTGCTTGTGAGGAAGCAGCATCCTTGAAGAGCAAGTTGGAGGAAGCCATTTCTGAGCAGCAGAATCTCAGGGATGTGATTGCAGCTTTAGCAAGCACTTGCCAGTTGCTTCAGAAGAAGGTGGAAGACCACAAAAGTGAGTAACTTTTGGCAATGTGCCAGCATTCATGTTTTGCATGGGCAAGTAGTTTAGGATTTAGTTACATCAAGGGAAGAAAGGGTTGATCTGCAGGTCATCCAGTAAAATGTTCTGTGGATCCTTGCTTGCTGTTTTGGGATTTTTCTCCCTTTTTTTTTTCCTTCTGCTTGAAGAGATCTGCCACCATCTGAGCAGCAGGTGGGATCCCAAGGAGTGGGTGTTGGGATCCATCAAAGCTTCAGAAGCTCTTAACAAAACCCCCAGTCCTAGGAGGGGGGATTAAAACTCCACGTGTGGCACAGGTACTCCTTTACCAAAAGTGCTGTTCCCCACCTTATCCCAAACAAAGCCATCCCTCTTTCTTAAGCTTCCTGAAGTATGTAGGCTTGATTTTTGTACATTCTGTGTTCTATTTGCTGCTTGTATTTGCTCTGTTTTTGATTATCTGTGTGGTGTTAGGCTGCTCTCTTTTAGTGGAAAGCAATACTGTCACTGCCTTGTACACATGCAACTTCTGCCACAGAGCCATGGAAACTTCTTACTGCCTCTTTCTCACTCACTTCCCGACATCAGCACCTCAATAACCTGGGCAGTTAAATTATGCTGAGGTCTGAGTCCAGAACATGTGGCTTTTTCTTTCCTAGCCCTGGAGTCTGATCCCTTTCTTAAGAAGGATTTGACTGATCTAAGCCCTCTGAATATTTTGGCCTCAGGAGTGCACTTACCATATGTGCTGAACATATATGTGTGCATTGCAAACAACTCCATGTGAAACCACTGTTTATCTTGCAGGAGAAATTCCCTGTGACCCTTGGCTTTAGCTCTAAGGCACAACTTTGCACTGATATGGCAGGAACAGCCCCAAAATGTGCTTGGCCCCCTCTGACCAGTGTTTTGGTACTGTCAGTGTGTGTGCTCATGTTGCTTTCCCTCAAACTGTGCAGCTGCTTTATTTTGCTCTTAGCAAGAGGCACAACAGTGGAAATAGTTTGTCACTTTCCAGCTCTGAATAGATGGAGTTCTTCTGTAAAGTGAGCTTGAGTAGATCGAGAGAGAACCCCAGATATGTGAGATTGATTTGGTGCCACTGTGACAAAATAACAAACCAAAAACCAACCCCCCACCACCCTGAAAATGACTAAGACCTTGGCTTTAAATTACTCCAGTTACTTTGCAGAAATAGTTTTTGTAGATAAATTAACTGGCATATGCATAGAGAAGTTGCAAAGCATTGTGAAGAACAGGGCTGACAAATACTGCTGGCACTGAAGGAAAGATGAATAAAAATGTTTTATATTGGTTCCTGCAAAAAGTCAGACAGGTCTGGTGCCTCTTCTGACTGAAGGGCTGGGCTGTGGTCTCCTCCCCACCTACCCATTCCAATCCCCTACTTCTTCCCACCTACATGGTAAGAGGGGAAAATGCTTCTAAGTACAAAGCCCATGGACTTTATAACTTCTGTACAGGATGTCAGGTGGAAAGGCCAAATGCTTCTCTTCCCCTAAGCCATGAGGGATCTGTTTCCACAGGGAACTGTGGCATCCCTAACACTAGCGATGTGGGGAAGCATTGCTTGTGATTTGCAGGTGAAGGTGTCCAGTGTTTTCTCTTCCCTGTGAAAAATTTTTTTGCAGGCTTAACCAGACTAATGCAAACTGCAATAAATTCTGATAAGGAGTAGTTAGAGATACTGTAAAATGGACTGCTTATCAAGTTTTAAGGAACCCTGTTAGACTTGTAAATGTCTCTTCATAGCAACTGCTAATGCCCTGAGATGGGAACTGCTGCAGAGGCGACTCTGTGAATTGCTGTGCCAGGTATGGTGCCCTTTGCTGGGAGCAGGAAAGGTGGGCTTGCACAGGAGGGGCTCTGGTGGAAGGACAACACAGCTGAGACCATCTGCAAACAATTTGGCAGTACCTGGTGTCTTCTTTTCTAGCATGTACAGAAGCTGTAGGTACAAATCTGCACATTATTTTCCTTACTCAGCCTCCTGAGGAAAAATGTGTCAGGACTTGCAGGAGTGGTGTTGGTCTTCAGTGTGAGCAATTCTTGATTGTATTAAAAGGGGCTGCAGGAAACCTTCCCTGATGCATTGGTGTGATTTTTGTCCCACAGCCAGCCCTTACTTCTGCAGACAGGCTTGGAAAAAAAACAACAAAATGCTTAAAATCTCATAATGGAAGATTTTTTCAGGATCCAGACCCTGGAATAGGCAGTGAAACAGTTGCTAACTTTGTGGCCCTCTGTGGAGAAATACATTGGAAATTACATAACTCTGGGGTGCTTTGCTTTGAATAAAATTACTTGCTTCAACTTTGGGAGGGGGTGGAGGGGGAAACGTTGTGGAGGGACTTTTTTCCCAGCTGGCTCTAGTAAGGAATGCTATAGCTCAGGATCCAAGCACTCTGGATTTAACAGACCAGCAAGGTATTTAACAGCAAACAGAAGGTCCTGAATGGAATCCTGAATTCCTAGGCTGTGACAGGGACATCAGAGGAGCAGAGTCAAAACTGGGCCAGCTGCACATGAATAAAACTTATATTTGTATATGAGAGTCTGCAGAATTAAGGCTGAAAGTGGCAATAGGAAATAACTGCAGTTGCAGTTTTGCAACTCATAGCTGCAAGTAGTTCAGTTTGAAAGATGAAGTTGCATTTTGCTCAGAATCAGTAGCAGTGCTCCTTCTCCTTTTATCTTTTTTTTTTTCCCTTCCGTGCCTGCCTTGAACTCTCTCTCTTTATTACAACAGTGCTGTGCAGAGTTAGATTCTGACTATGCTTTGCTGCCCACATCAGCTGAACACGTAGAAGGGAAGGTAAGTGTGCTTGCTGTGATCATTGCTGATCATCACTGTTAAAATGGGATGTTGGGATTTTTTGGGTGGGGGTTATTTTCTTCATCACTACAAGGAAATAAATAACTTGCGTTGTGAGAAACTTTGCTAAGTTAAACACTCACGAAAAATACTTTGAGATCAGTGTCTGTGAATGTGCAGGCAGGTGTTTACATGCATACAAAAGCATATTCTAAACCTTATTGCAAAGCCAGGTTCCCACTGCCTTTGAAGCACAACACAGATGTGTGATAAATTCCTTTTAGAGAAGCATCAGTCTGAAGATGGTACTTCTTCCAATTTCTTTTGAATTTTCCATTGTTTAATCAACATTAGGTCAAATAAACTGCATGCATGTTGCTTCAGAAGTTTTCTCAAATGCTGTCTTCAGATGACTCCTCTTGGCGAGTGTGGTTTGGAATTTTTTTTATTTTATTTTTACCCCCTTCACAGGGTTTGAGTGGCTTCTTTGGTTCTCCTCTCAGGCTCATCTTGCATGGTTTTGTATGATTTATTTCCAGACCTTGCTTGAACAAACATATTTTGTTGCAGGTGTAATTATCCTGCCTCTTCCTGTAACTGTTCTGCCCATTAAAGATATGATCTCTTTAAGACAAAAAAGCCACGGAAGATGTATTTGTGTAACTGTTGGTGTTATATTATGCAGATGCCTGGGGAGAGGGGGAGTTGGTGGCATTAATGTATTCAGTGTGGTGGAACAACAGCACTTCTTATTTTTTCAATTAGCAGATCCATTGCTCCAAACGACCATGGAGTGAAAGACCCACCTTGTACTCTGGCTTTCCCTGGGTGCTGCCTTCAAGTGTTTCACACTGGCACAGCTCCCCTCTGCTAGGTAAGACCTGGTAGTGTGTTGGGCATTTGTCATTCACCTGAAATACAGAAGGAGTTGACAGGTCAGTCCCAATAGTGCTGAGTGTGCCGCTAGAGTGTGGAAAATATGTTGTGGGCTTTAACCTATTTCTGCATGTAATCCAGGAATCTGAACCATGATTACAGTGTTTGAAGTGAAAGGCAAGGTGACAGACAGTTCCCAAGATCTTAAGGAGCTATTGGTATAAATAATACATCCAAGTATATTCCTGACAGGGTGCTTGTCAGTCTGGATCCAGAGGGCATGAGTCCTGTTCTTCCCATTCCCTCTGAGGGAATGTGCCTCTCAGGCACACCCTGAGATGTCCTGCTCCTTGGCTGCTGAGCTGTGGGCAGTCCTGGTTTAACAACTTAAACAGTAACAGGGCTACTGAGAATAAAATCATAGTGTAAGAGGATGGTTTGGGTTGGAAGGGACCTTAAAGATCAGCTAATTTCATCCCCCTGCCATGGGCAGGGACACCTGTCACTGTCCCAGGTTGCTCCAAGCCCTGTCCAGCCTGGCCTTGGACACTGCCAGGGATGGGACAGCCACAGCTGCTCTGGGCAACCTGTGCCAGTGTCCAGTCAGCCTGTTCTTCTCCAGGCTGAACCGCCCCACCTTTTCCAACAGATTGTATTTGTTGCTTTCTTTCTGAGTTGCTGGAACTTCCCTGCATCTCTCAAGCCTTACAAGGACTAAAAGCTGCCACTGATAGCTGTGCATTGCAGAGCTGCAGGGTGCTGGTGCATTTGGGATTCCACACACAAGCATTTCTCCCAGAAGTGAGCTGGTCCCACACAGAGGCTCTTCTCACACAGACTACAAATGTTCAAGTGTAATTCCAGGCCATATAGATGTGAACGGAAGCGAATCTTTCTTTGCTGCATGTGCTCTTCATCAGAGCATTCTGCTACTCTGGGAGGGTTTCAGTCTGGCAAACTCTCCATCTACAGAACAAATGGAGGCCACACAACCAAACCCTTTCCTACCAAGACAGAAGTTGCCTTATTTAAAATCTCTGCTTGGTTGGTCTACTTCTTGATTATTTTAGAGTTAGCCAAAAAAATTGACTTGTAACTAAATCCAGCTTTGCCAAGGACCACTTCTCTTCATGCTTGTCCTTCTTTAACAGATGCTCTGACCTTGGAGACCTCCTGCCCAAATAATCCTCCTGGGAACAGCTGGGACCGGCCTTGCAGGCAGAGCTCTGGCAGCTGCACCTTGGAGAGGTGTGATGTGGGACACGTGTCCAGCTCAGATGTGACATCAGGAGAATGCTGGTAAGGTGGCAGAATAGCCTTTCTGGGGTGGAGGGGGGAGGAGTCAACAGGGTCTATCAGATTCCATGTGCTGGGTTCAGCTGCAGGAGTCTCCCTTAGAGGGTGTACTGAACACCTGGTGATCAGCTCATGGTGTTCCAGGGCAACACTTTGCTTCTGTTCACAGCTACCAAAACTCTTTAGTGGAGCTGCTTGCAGACAGCTAAAATGCAGTTATGGGGTTTCTGTTTCATGCTATGAGACATGAATTAGGCATTCTTGTCTATTTTCCATGTTTAACTTATAATTGGCATTCCCATTAAATGCCAAAATCCTATTGACTTTGAGGAGTGACTTTTGTTTTTTGCAGAGCTTAGAGCAGGAATTCTGAGGTCCTTGCCTATCAAGCTGCCTCCTTAGATCTTTAAAACAGAAATTAAACTTCTTGAGATTAGGAAAGCTGGAGTGAACTGTGGTGAATATTTTAAAAGCTAAGGATATTCCTGAAGGTGCAAAAGCAGGCAGTCTGCAGCAAGAGACTCAGCAGCTCTCAAAGCTTTTTGCCACTGGTTTTCTGTAGAATTGTGTAGTGTGGAGGAGGTTGGGAAAAGGACTGATGGTGGTTCTGGCTGTTCGGGGGAGGAGGGATTGAAGTTGGTGATGAATTTTGTCTTTCCCTGAGAGACCAGCTGACTGACTGCACAGAGAGTGATGACTTCAGTTGTTATGTGCTTAAGGAAAATGGGTGCTCTATCTCTCTGTGGTTTGGGCAATATGCAAATAAAGCCTGTGTTGCCAGGTGGAAAGTATGCTCTGCTGATGACTACACTGATGCAGACCTTCCTGTTTCCATTACAATGATGGACTCTTCACTTGCCGAGGTGAGTGCTGGCTCTGATGCCTGAGATGTGGTTTTGAACAGGCTCAAGCATTTTGTGCCTTGCTCAGACCCAGGTCCAGATGGCTCAGCTATAAATCAGCACTGCTCCACAGTGGATGGAGCTGACATCAGCTGGCAGGGCACTGGGGGGGGTGGGGGGTGGTATTCCCTTCTGTTTGGACATGTTTCTGCAATACCTTGGTTATAAAACTAAACGTCTTGATGTCACGTGCAACTGGGTCATGCTTTTAGCTGTGGAGTGTTATAAATGGGGTTTCAAGGCTAGAGACAGTGCTGGTTTTGCAGTAACAGTTGGCTCTGCTGTGGAAGAATTGAGTGTTTTTGCTCTTTCTCCACCTGCAAGGAGCCACAGGATGCTTCATTTGGGTGTACTGCCGTGCTTTGCACTTTCTCCCACAGGCACTATGTAACAACTGAAAAATGCTATCTTTGCTGTAGGGGAGCTTTCCTTCAGCTGGTGTACTCAGCTATGCCTTCACTGCTGCCCCGAGTCCTGCACCTACAGATTGAGCTGCAGTTTTCTCATGGCAACAGCAAGAGAAACTGCAGCTCAGCACACCTAAGCTGTGCCTCAGTCCTCACTATTGAAACCTAGACCTCAGCTCCACCACACAGGGCTTATAATGAGCTCTACAAACTCCAGTATTGGTGGGGATGGTGGAAGAGTATTGGTCAGTGGCTTCTGTGAACCTTTGGGACTAAAGAGCAGCCAGCCTCAGGGTGAGGGTGTGTGGTATCTGTGAGTACAGCATGGTCTGGTTGTAGTGGTAAATCAAAGCAGAAAGTGCAGTGAGGGTAGAAAGTAATAGTGCTGGGCACTCTCTGTTGTTTCAGCACACTGGGGTAGAGCAGGTGAACTCCCAGCTTGTGCTGCTCCTACTAAGTGCCCTTAAAAGAGGATCCCCTTGAGGGGTCCTACTTTATCCAGTCCTTCTGGAAAGTCACAGCTGTGCAAAGGTGTGTGAAACATCTGTGCTTTCTTGGGCTTTCTGTAATTCCAGCTGGGCTCAAAAATGTCATTTTCTATTCTTGCTATCACTTTTTAGTATAAGCTTTGCACATGTGTGTTTTGAAGGGGAAAAATGAAAATGTTTAAGGCTTGCTCCAGAGAAAAGGCAAATGGGCTGTGTCCAGTATCTGTTCTAAACACTGGCATGTAGGAAAATTTGAATATCCTTTTTCAGTAGAAAAGGTCTCCCTAGTTTTCTTTGGAGTTTAATCACACTGCAGTTGCAGATGTATTTGAGCAGGTCAGCATGTCAGTAACTCAAGTTATTTGTGTCAAATCATTGTCACCATAGAAGTTCAGGGGCTACTTAATACAGGAGCACTTGTGAAAGCCAAATGAAGCTTGGGCTTCTTGCTCTTGTTTGGATTTATAAATGTGGAAGTCATACTACAGTCTGAAAACCAGACAGGTCTTTCAAATGTTAATCATAGTTTGGGAGGAGTTAGATTAGACCGTGTCCAGAATTTGTGGGCTGAGATAGAGAACCCTTGCATTATTATGCTAATCAGTGGGATGGAGGTGGGAAAAGTGACTAGGGATGTGCTTCAGGATCCTCTTTGGCTGTTCTTTCTCTTAAAAGGACTGTACCATTCTCTGATGCCTTGTGCAAACAGATTTTACTATGAGGGTGGTGAGGCCCTGGCACAGGTTGCCCAGAGAAGCTGTGGCTGCCCCATCCTTGGCAGTGTCCAAGGCCAGGCCAGGATGTTGCCTGAGCAACCTGGGATAATGGCAGGCATCCCTTCCACTGGTTGGTTGGAACTTTGATCTTTAAAGTCCCTTCCAATGCAAACCACTGTGATTTTATTTTATTAAGAAAACTAGAAGGTGGTGTTTCTCTTTTATTGGGTTTGTTTGGGTTTTTTTTCCCCTTTATGTGGAATCCATGGGGGTGTAGCCTGGTAGCCAGCTTAGGGTTTTTAAAAACTGAATTGAGGGTTTTCCTTCATTGCAAACAGAAATCACAGACCGTGTGCCCATCTGGGCAGGGACAGATCATGTGGCATAATGTATAATTTCAGTCAGTTCTAGGTGATGTGAGGGCTTTTCTGTTTTCTTGGATGCTGTGTGTTAGTTTTAAAAACCCGTAAGATTTCTTTTCTTTCCAACATGATATTATTCTCCCTCCCCAGTACTCCTGGTTCAGACCCAATGTCTTGGACAAGGCAAATGCATTGCTGCACTTCCTCGAGTTTATGTCAGAATTCAAATAATAATAATAAAAATAGTCTGAATTTGCATTAGAGGAAGCATCCACCTGGCTGGGGCAGGGCTGTGCAAGAGCAGCCCAGCTCCAACAGGGCAGGGAGGAGGGAAAAGGCACTTCCTGGCACTGGGAGCAGTTGGTCACTCTTGGAAGTGACTAAGGCCCTTGAATACCTCCTGTTCTCATTTGCTGGGTTTCCTGTGTCCTCTGAGGGCATTTGAGGGGGTAGGAAAGATACCAGAATACTGGCAATTGCTTGCTGATGTGGTTTTTCTGTTGTTTCTCCACAAACACTTCAACAGTGCTCTTGGGTGCTTGCTGTATAGGGAGCTGTCTGGCTTCATTCCTCCTCTGCTTGGAGAGAAGAGCGGCTTTGGGCTGTTTTTATTTTCTATTCAGCACTTTTCTTCAACAGTGGTTGTAATTCAGCACAAGTCATTACCAACTTAACCCTTCAAACCTCATCAGTATTATAGTATATAACCCTGTCCTTTCATCCATACAGACCAACCTAACAACTGAATGAGTGAGCTGGAGCTTTCCAGGGTGAAATGAGGAAGAGGGATGTTGCACATATAGAACCTCCCTAGAAATTAAAAACCTCAAGAGGATATTGGTTTTGTCTGTGATGTGATAAGACTTGGGTCCAAAACCGCACTGTGGCAGCTAGAGGAACATGAGCAAAACTGCTAGCTTTTAATTGCTTTGTTCCTCTGCAGTTTGTACACCAGCGAGGCTTGAGGCCTCTGAAGGGGCTGGGTAATTGTTATATGTAATATTGTAAAACTGGATCCCTTCAAAGGCAGTCAGTAAGATGTACAACACAGCACACTGGTTTTCTGTGTTCTGAACCACCTGCTTGCTCATGCTGTGCCTATTAACACTTCCATTTGCCCAGTGAGTCTGATCCCTACAGCCAAGTGAAGCTCTGTGCACCTCATTTGTAGGTTTTGAGCTTCAGACCTTGAAAACGGATCTCTCCTGGTGCAAGGCTAAGATGGAACAATGGTGGTGTACTAACATGTTTGTTGGTGATTGAAAATATGCATTAGGAACAAACCATGGAGTCAGGAACCAAAACACATATTTGAATATGACATTCCTGGTGAGGCTTTAGACTAGTGCAGTTACCAGCCAGTTCTTCACTGCTGGAGTGGTTTAGGCACAGCTGGGAAAGTTATAGTTTTGACATGCAAGTTTTACTCTGGAAGTTATCACTCTGATACTCTTTTTTCTCTCTCTGAAGATTGACTGTGGGGAGTCAACACCACAAGCCACTCTGATCCCATCCAGGTCAGATCTTGTGAAAGATTTAAAAGCCTTTATCAAGACCTGTATCATGTAGATGAGTATCTGAAAGAGTTTTGTTTTGGCAGCGATCACTTAACATCAGCCCAAGAAGCTTTTGCATCCGAGGCAAGCACAGCACCAGTACCGGGTGAGTCCTTAATTTGGAGCACTGGATATGCTCAAGTCTGTGTTTATTGAGCAATAAAAGCTTTGTTTTCTGCTGTTTGATGTTCCAGCCTGCCTTGCTATGGAGGAAAGATCATCCAAAGCCTTACATGAGAGAGGGGAAGATTCTTCTGTGGCAAAGGAGACAAATGGCGATAAGGGCCCAGCTGCTCCTGTGTCAGGTACAGTGGCTGCTGCACTGCCTGGCACTCACACACTGAGGAAATTGCTTCCAGCACATCTTTGAAGTGAGGAAGCTGAGTAAGAGCAACAACATGAGAATTTCTATTTTTGAAAGTATTTTCACGCTTCCCCCCCATCCAGTCCTCTCAAGCCCCCCTGAAGCTGAGTAGGAATAAAATTTTTTAACCACCTTACCACAGCACTGCAGGCAGGGAGCATGAAACAACTCAGTGAGATCTTGGGGCTTGCTCAGCTGGCAAAACACTGAGTGGGTACAAAATCCCAGACAATTTTTGACAACAGAAAACATGTTTTTATGGGTATATACAGTTATTTAGTTTGACAGTGCCACTAAACACTTTCTTCTCTTTCAAGGCTGTTGTGCAAGAAGCTGGGATAGGTCAAGAGGAGACATGGGGATAGGGGCATTTGTATATTGTTTGGTCTTTGCTAGAGCCTTAAACAGCCACCAGATCTGATGATTTTCTTCTACTGAAAAACTATAAAACCAAACCAAAACTGGAACAAGCGTACACACTGTACTTAAGTGGTTTTTGTAAAGCTGATCAGAGTAAGCAGCACAGAATACCTGTGTGTGCTTGTTTGTAATTTTTTTTTTAAATCTTTACCTCCATATAGAGTTGTACTTTCTTGTTTGGTTTTGTTTCTGTCCTCAATACTACCTTGCTGGAATTGTGTCCCTTCATTTAAAAGCATTTTCTTTCTACTAATTTTCCTTCTACTATTAATTTTCATATGTGGTCCAGGTGCCTTTGGCTAAGAGGAAGCAGATACACAGAACAAATTTTAAAAAGTCCAAATAGCTTTAAAGTCTGAGAATACATCTGCCTGATGCACATCTCTGAAAGGAAAGTGTTTCCTAAAATTAGAACTTATAAACTTCCCTTTGCAGGCTTCAAACCTGAAGCTGGAGTTTTTCTAGAGTTTTGTTTTCTTTTTTTGTTTTTCCCCGTGCCATTTCTTTGGGACACAGATGTGTAACTGCATAAACAGAGGAGAAAAGAAAACATTATAGATGTTCTTAAAGGTATAAATATTAATTAAAAGCTTCCTTTTTAAACAGCAAGCATAACAAAAAAGTATCTATGCTGGTAGCAAAATAATAAAATTAATTTATCCAAGGGAATATTACTATGACTTTCATCTTCAACTACAGGAAGTACATTATATTCTCTATTCTCAGCTGCAGATGTATAACATTTCTTATGGGGATTTTTTCCAGTCATAGTTATAATCACATTTCTTCCTATGTGTCTTTAATAGTGTTCTTTGCTGCCTCCTCTTTTTCTCAGTGATCTTTCATAGTATTTGATGTGGGATTTTTTAGTCCAGTTGGCCCATGGCTAAAATGGCAGGTGTTGGAAGCTTGGTGTGTTTTACTGATTGTTACCTTTGGATTTGGGAATGTTTCTCCACAGGACCAAGTCAGATCAAGAAGGAATTCTGCCTGGTGATGGAAGAACACAAGCCTGTGCTTCAAAATGTTTTGAAGCAAGACCTGGTAAGAGTGCTGGTGACAGTGACAAGCCCAGCTGGTTTGGCTGAGCAGTGACAGAGGAGACAGACTCCTCCAGGGGTGGTGTGGCTGCTCCCTTCCTGTAACTGCTCTGATGTGCCTTTAGGAGGTGGACCAGGAAAAGAAAAATAATAAAGAGAGGAGTGAGGAAGCACCAGCTGTGGTTCCAGGCAGGAAAGGTAAGGGGGCTTTGCTGAACACCTTCATATTACTGAAGCACAAGCTGAAACCAGAGCTGTGTCGAGAGGTGCAAAGAGCTGCCTGTCCCACACCAAGCATGATCAGAGGCTTTCATTTTAGGGTTTGGTAGCTGGAGATCAAAATGAAGAGAAGAACAGTGGTGTCATGCAAAATCTGCAGCTCTGACTTCTGCATATACTGATCTAACCAGCTCCACATTCCTCTAGACAGGAGGAATGTTGTTAGCTGCAAAGGAGTTGGGATATTTGAAAGAATTCTGGCACTTCTGCTCTCCCCAAAGATTTGTAAAAGAAGCATCTCTGTGCTATCCATGATATAAGGGGAGCAGGATGTTGTTTCTCCTTAGACTTCTCTGCTTTTCAAATTGCCTCCTCTTTTGCCTTTGGAAATCACTAAAAGCTGGTGAGGTAGTGAATCATATAACATCCTGAAGCCCAAACCTGCAGTTAACCATTTCTTGCTAATAAGGTGCCAGCTGAAGTTCCCTGAACAACTGACTTTTGGGGCTTTGTACAAGTGGCAGTGCTGTGGTGCCTCACAATGAATAGAACCTGATGCATATGAGTTATTTTCAGTGGCAAGAGCTGAACACTGGAAAACAGGGGCATCTGTGGAAACTTGGAAGACTCTCACAAGTTGTTTTGGGGAGGCTGTTTTTGCACTTTGGTCTGAAAATGTTGGTTTTTTTGGTCTCTTCTCAGCGAGTTCACCCACTGCAGGTGGTATTAAAGGAGATAAAACCAAGCAAAATGAGCTGTAAGTATTTTGACTTTCAGTGATTACCTGCAGGTATGAATTTAAAGCCAGTCTGTTCCATGGTTCTTTTTCTTCTCCTACAGTGACTCCTCAAATGAGAAGGAAGTGGAGGTAAGTCTCAACTGCTTATATCCTGAAGTATTTCAGATAACAGATATTGTAGATAAACCCTGATTAATATCTCCTCCTACACAGAAGAATGATCCAGCTTAAACTGGATGTATTTCTGTAGGTTAGTTCTGAAATCTTTTTCCAAGCCTAATGGAAATTTTTTTCAAGAGATGGGATGGAGAAAGGTGGAAATCTGTAAAACTGAACAAAGACTTGTCACTACTGTGACATTTGTTTGCAAGCTTGAAGGAGCATAGCTGTGACCTCCTCCCAGGCAGAATGTGAGGATTTAAAACAGTTTTGTCAAAAGGCACAGATGGCACAGTGTGCTGCCAGGATGTCACCTCTTTTGGCTGCAGAACATTCTTACATCCTCCATCACTACAGATGGGAAGACCTGCTTAAAGGAAGTGGGTCATGTTCACTTATTCTTCTGTATCTCTCCTAAACTTTGGTCACAGGGTATAGTCCCAAACGTCATGTCAGTGTCCAAATCTCCTTAAACTTCTGCATCACTTGCATTCCTCTGAAATATTTTCTCCTCCCACAACAGGCTGAATTTCTGAGGCTGTCTTTAGGTTTTAAGTGTGACTTGTTTACCTTGGACAAGAGAGTGAAGCTCGAAGAGAGGTCCCGAGACCTGGCTGAAGAAAACTTGAAAAAGGAGATCGCAAATGCTGTGAAGATGTTAGAGGTCAGTATTGTCCGGGGCTAGTAGAGTGGATGGGATAAGCAGATGTGAATGTCTCTTAAAACAGCTTTTTAAAGGGAGAGTGTGCATGGGATACATGGTGAGCAAATATGAATGAAGTTCTGGGGCAATGCAGTCAAAATATGAGAGATGACATGGGGTAATCTTGATCCAAGTGCATCGCGTGCTTAGGCAGTGGGGAATTTTTCTGTTGCACAAACATCTGCCCCTTGCTTCAGCTGATTTTTTTGTTCCAGTCTCTGCCCACTTGAGCTCTCTATCCAAGTTACACTGATTGAGGGTGTTGGTGTGGGCCTGAACACAGCTCCTCAGTCATCAGCTCAAACCTTCATTCTTTGTTAATTCACACCAGTGTTAATTCTTACCAATGTGTGCTCTTAGGCATTAATTCCTTTGTGTGAAGAAGATAACCAAGCACAGGAGATCATTAAGAAGCTGCAGAAAAGCCTGCAGTTCCTTAGCCAGTACGCAGCTCGAGTTGCCAGCAGAGCAGAGATGTTGGGAGCTATTAATCAGGTAACACTTTCCATCTAAAAGTACTTTGTACAAAGCTGAAACCTTCCAGCTGCAAAGGGATAGCCATATCTGCTTGCTGGGCTTTAGGGTCCTGGATGGGATTTGGGAATCTGGTGTGTGTAGTGTAGACTGGCCAGTACAGCTTAGTCCTGGCCTTCTCTTCTTACTGTGTTGTTATAAGGAATCCCAGGCACTGAGAGCAGCTAGAATTGTGCAAAAACCCACTGGAGAAATAATGAGGTTCTGGTTGAAAAAACCAAACTAAAAAAGACTTTGCAGCAATGGGATGTACAAAATACCAAGCAGGGTGGTAACAATGGCCTCGATGCTGCAAAGATGGTTCTGTGCCTTATGGAAAGATAGCTACAGCTATCAGCAAATCTATGAACAGGGCTTTGTACTTTTTTCTAATGTTAGGTGTGGCTGTGTACAATACCCCAGAGCAGCATGAAAATATGACTCGGCAATACCAGCAAATGTATGGTGGCAGCTGAGACTGTACATCAGAGATGATGATGAGTTGTAAGGGCTTGCAAAATGGAAGACTGATTTATTTATTTTACAACAAGAGTGATCCCCAGAGAAATGAAACCTGTGTGGCATATGCAAGGACAGGGGTTGTAGTGAAGCTTTGAAAGTGGAGGATAAAAGTGGGATATACCAGAGGAGACCAGATGCTTGAGGGGGAAATATCCAAACATGAGGCAGTTCCTGAGAGCTGCTGCTTTCCCTGCTCCCTCAGGAGAGCCGGGTGAGCAAGGCTGTGGAGGTGATGATCCAGCACGTGGAGAACCTGAAGCGCATGTACGCCAAAGAACACGCGGAACTTGAGGAGCTCAAGCAGGTCCTGCTCCAGAACGAGAGGTCCTTCAGCTCCCTTGGAGACAGAGGTAACCAGGAAAAGCCTCTTTTCCTTTGCTAGCACCTGCCAGACAGGCCCTTATAGCTGCAGAATAGTCATATAAAACCTCCACATCTTAGGTGACAGAATTATATTATTGTTTTATCCCCTCTTCTAAAAAAAAGCGGGGGGAATAGCAATTTATTAACACTATTAAAGGCAGCTCTCTGAAATTAAACTTGTGCCTAAACTGTCATGGATTTCAGGATTTGTGTGTGGGACCACTGCAAGTACACAGGGATATTCTGGCTTTCAGCAAAGTGCATGGCATGTGTTGGTGATAATCTTATTCCTTGTGAGCAGTAAATTTGGGTGCTTGTTCACAGTAGCTATTTGTAGGTAGCTGAGCTTTGGCTGCTCTCTACAGATGCACCCTGCCCTTTTCTGCATGGGAATTGCAAATCCCAAAAGTGCAGGGAGCCTCTATTTCCCCTTCTAAGCAGCCAGGTTTGCAGCCGGTGCTGTGCATTTGTGGCTTTGCCAGAAAAGTATTAAATTCTTCTGAAAAATAGGATGTGTTTTTTAAACACCAAAAGGGAACACCATAAAATCCTTGCAAGAACCTTTTGAATCACAATCCTGACTGTGACAGACAGTCCTGTAACAGGACACTGTCTCAATAATAGAATATATTTGGTGATAATGATGGAAGATGATGCTTGCAGAGGATAGGTGATGTGTGAATGTTATGAACTTATTTAATGAAATAGGAGGCTTTTTCCTGAGATCTCATTTCTGCCTTCTGAGAGTGCTTTGCTTAAACTCTTCAGAAAGTCAGACCTTAGACTGCAAATTAAACTCACTTCACTCCTATTAGCAGCAAACTCCTCCTGTAAAGCTCTGATGTTTGATCTCTTCACAGATGAATCTACAAATAAGAAGCTACCAAGTCCTTTTAACTTTAAGGTAATGGTCCTTACATGAAATTTCAAATTGTTTTAAGTGTGTGTGGTTTTCTTTGCTTTATGTGCTGGTGTTCTGCTGCATGCTTGACTGGTTGCTTTTCTGTCACAAATATGTGCTGGTGCCATCAAACATGAGAATCTACTTTTCAGACACCCCACCAACCCTCTAAGTGGTCCCCCTTAGAAGCTGAAGGTGAAATGGTTGGGCTCTCATTCACTGGTTAAGAAATATTGTTCGTGCATGGTTCCCTTGGAGTTAAAGGAGTGTTTAGGACAAAAATATGAGATGGGAGCAGTTCAAACTGAAAGCAGGAATTCCTGTGAGTGAGGTATGGGGAATTAGTTACATTCCATTTTGGTATTTTGCTGGAAGCTGTGCAGCCAGCCTCACTCAAGTGGGCAGAAAGAATTTATTGTGGAAAGATGCTGTTTCAAAACTGACTTGATCTGCACTTGAGATTGGATCCTTTGTGTGTTACTTCAAGCTAAGTCTCAGCATCTTTTTTTTTAATGTAGTTTGTGTAAAGCAGATAGTATTTTGTGTGCTCAGTGGGTAACCCAGCTGTGCCTTGCTAAGAGCCAGTAATGCCTCTCATTTGTATAGCCCTCGTCAGCCCTGCGGAGAGTTAGCATTGCAACAGTGCCCAGGAGTGCTGGGAATGCAGGAATTGGGGTACCACTGGTAAGTAGGGGCTGCTGGAGGGATGTTGAGGTGTTTCACCTCCCCAAAACTGGCTGGGTTTCTGCATCAGAATGCCAGTGCAGTAAATGTGGCAAATTTCTCCTCCAGGCCCAGTTCCATGAATCCAATGGGGATGAACGAAGTGACAGGTTCAGCAGGAGATCAAGCAGTTGGTAAAGTCACCTGGGCTTGTCTTTGAATGGGGGGAATACTTGTTGACTCTGCCTGTAGTAAGAAAGTATGAAGCATCTTGGGGTATAATAATGTTTAGGCTACACCTTTTGTGTTAGTTTTATATGCTATAATAGGCAAATGAGCCTTATGAGCTCACCTTTTTTACTTACTGAGCATTGATAGCTTAAAAAAAAATCCTTCAACTTTCTTGCTTTAGAACTAAAATGTGAAATCTAAATATCTACAGTGGATGGATCTGCAGTTTAGTTTGGTTTCATTTGTTTGTTTTTTTTTTTTAAATGATCCTAATTTCAAGCAATTTAATTTGTGGTTTATTTGTCTGAGGTCAACCAAATGACTAGGCTGCTGCTAAATTTGATTTCCTGCTCTTTATCTGCTGGGGAAAATCAGGCAAATTTGTTTAACACATGGCAGGGGCAGGCTAGGGGTGAAGCAGAATGAGAAGCGTCCTTCACTGCAGAGGTTCCTCAGCACCTATTCCTGGGCAGAGTATGAGGAGGAGCATTTTGAAACCAAGTAAGTTCAGCAGAAGCCTCCTCCCAGGTGTGCTGGTTTGGTTTTTAAAGAGCTTTTAATTCACCACCTGGGCTATAAAGCCAAGCTTTTGTGAATTTAGTAAGGCTTCGGAACTGTTGATTCTTGTTTACAGAAATGAGCAGTTGGAGTCACCTGCTGAAGTACAGGGACAACTACCTAGGAAGGAAAGTGTCTCTGAAAAAGGAAAATACCCACCCAAATGGACCCTGGAGTCAATGTAAGTTTATTTCACTGGTTAAAGCCATGTTTGGGAGGTGCACATGGGAAGAGGTTCTGAACAAAAGACCAGGACTTTCAGTGCTTTCTGTAAGCAAGGGTTCTTGCTGCTCTTGCAAGGCAGCTTTTGTGAATCAGTTCAGAACCAGCGTGAGGTACAGGAAGCTTGGATGGACGGCTGAGCTGGGTCAGCTTATCAAGAATTTGCTTCCTTGACTGTGTTTTAAACCCAGAACCAAAGTTCCCCCTGCACAGCTCCCAAAACAGTAACAACCTGTCACTTTCGATGTTTGTAGGATCTAGTTTGCTGTAGGGCTTTTGGGGGTGGGGTGGGAAGAGTTTCATGTTTTGAAGAAACACTGAAGGGCTTTCCTGTCCCGCCCAGGTACAATTTGCTGTCAGCCTGGGCATCCCACTTCAAGGCTTCCTTCAGCAACGCTAACAAAACCTTCTGGGTGTCCGTGTCCATGCTGGTCCTGCTGGCTGCTCTCACGAGCTTCCTGATGGGGCTGTCCCTGCAGAGGCCAGCAGATGCAGCCCCTGTGGGCACTGGGGACTCCTGGACACTGGTGCAGCAGCTGCTGTGGCCCTACACAGGACTGCAACACAACGGCCCTCCCCCGGTATAACCCCGGCTCCGCTGCCGGAGCTGCGCTGCCACGCTCTGCCGGACAGGAGCTGAGGCTGCCCTCGATTTAAGGTTACGTGTCTGGGTTTCTTTTGTTGGGTTGGGGGTATTTTTGGGGAGGAGATTAATTTTTTTTCTTTAAAGCATGACTTGGAATTTTTTTTAAAAAAAAGGTATTTTTCTTCCCATTCTGGCAAAAGTTATCTTTGAAAGTAGCTAAAAGGGTCTCAGTTCTGTTGAGGTTTACAATAGAACAGCAATTTTTAATATTGTTAACAATAAACACGTCTAGGTGGTCTAGCCACAAGAGAATAAAGAATTTATTTTGCTTGAACAAAGATAAAATGTTTGCATTTTAGAACCTGTTTCAGTGATTTGAACAGAAAAGGATTTAAGACTTGAAATGTAACTTTTTTGAAAGCTTTTGATAATAAAGTTTTGAAGGAAAGCTTGCTGTATCTAAGAGTATGCTAAAACTCTGGTAGCAAGGAGCAGCTGATACACAGAATCAATAAACAGGAAGCCAGCTCTTTCCACTTTATCCATGGCTTCATTGCTGGCAGAAGCCTTGAGCATATGGTAGAGTGTGGAGTGAAATTCAGACTCTTCTTCCAGCTCTTCTGTAAAAGCTTCACTGGTTTCAGTGAGCTTGAGGTTTTGTACTTTCTCACCATTGAACATATAAAGAGACCAGTCGTTGTCTTTGGCAGAACCCACTGTAAGATGTTCACTTGCCTATGGCAGGAAAAAATGCACTGTGAGGTGAAGCCTGTGCCACTGTCAGAGTACAAATCCTAATATTTGTGTGCCACATGCATTTAGCCTAAGAGTGAGAAAGCCACTCCAGCTTTCAGCAGGGGGGTGTGTTACCTTTCTCCAGCCACACCTGTGAGTGTTTGTCTGGCTGGGAGAAGTTTTAACCATGTGTTTTAGTTCACAGGTGGAGACAAATCAACACTGAGGTTGCTTTTTCCCTCCTCTGCAGTAGGGAGCTAAAGAAACCCTACAGGCAGGAAGGAATTTCCAGCTGTTCTTTAAAAAGGTGGCAAAGCAGACTGCTAATTTTCAAGAGGCCTCTGAAGAGCATGAAGCTCTGTCACCCCAGCTCTGGCTAAAGCCTCCCTTGGTGATTTATCAGCTCTGTTTTCCTTAGCAAGTGTCTTTGCTGCTGAGACTTGTGTCTCCCGAGAGCTCTCTCAGGTGCAGTCTGTGACACTGCAGGGGCTGAAGCCACCAGGGGCGAGTTCATTGTTTCTGTCTGACTGGGGAAGGGGTCAGTGCTGGCCTGCTCTGGAAGTTTGGTCTGACTCCACAAACCTTGAACACGATTCGCTCTGGCCCTGCTTCTCCATTCCACTTGCTGTGAGCAAAAGCAAAAGCAGCTGCAAGCAGAGCCATCTGCTCATAGGCCTTCACTTCTGCCAGGGCAGCCTGCAGTGCACAAGTAGCAATCAGACAAAACAGATCTTGCTCTATTTCCCTGTGTTACAGCAATGTCAGGGCCTGCTGTACTCAGTCCCTGGCTCAGCTGGCAGCACAGCAGCTCCCAGTGCAGGAAAGGGTGACCTGACTGAAAAATGGGAGGGAAATCCACCAGGAAACTCTGGCACTCACCTTCCTGGGCACAGGGACATACTTGGGAGAGTACTCTGCTGGGAAAATGTTCACTCCAGCTCTTTTCAAAGCTGCTCTGAGGGCAAAAGGACTCATCCATTTTCCTGTGATGTGGGAAAGCACCTCCTCCTCTTCCACCACTACTGAGGACAACATACACTGATTATCCTGTTGTACAAACCAGTGAAAGCAACTTACTGGTCACGGAAATACCTTTCTGGTTTAGGCTTCAAATATTGATATCTTTGCTGGCTATTACCCACATCATCTGCTACACTGGGCTGTGACCTTTTATTTACAGATCCTGAAGAGAGCCAGCTTTGTGTAGGAATTCAGAAATTAGACTGGTGTACTGATTTGTACAGCAGTGAACAGATGGATAATCATGAGTAGCTTGAAGTTTGAGAAGCAATAAGGAACATTAGTAGTAGGCTGCTAGAAATGCTTTAACTTCTCCTGGTAGAGCTGAGAGCAGAGGAACAATTTTTAGGTCTCTAACAGGTAGAACAGTCTTGAATGCTGCAAGGCAGCACCAGCAGCAAAGCACTGACTGAAACTTTCCAGAGCAAATGCACAGAGGCTTTCTCATAGTAAATAACTGAAATTAAATAACCATCACAGTGCTTGGAAAGGGAGAGAGATTCAAATCACTCTTGTGGAAACATCCCTAATTCTTACTCAGGGACACTGTAATAATTATGGGATTTTTGAACTGCAAATGTTTGATTTTAAAAAATATTGACAGTACCTTAATTTGTATCTGAATGGTTGCAAAGGCTGCAGTTAGTGTGAAGAGTCCTTCATCCACCCCAGTGGGGTGCAATTCCCAGGCCTGATAGGGCAGGTTCAGGTGAGCATCCTGGAAAAGGGCTACTGTATAAAAGGCACCCATCCCAAAAGTGATGCTCTTTTCTTCTGCTTCATATGTTATCTCGCTGATGCCATCAGTTCTCCACTGCTGGCCTGGACAAAAAGGAAGCAATGATACACTGATGTACATGGAAGGCTTCTGGCAGTAATGCTGAAGTAAAACAAACCAAAAAACTAATAACAAAAAAAAAAATGTAAAATCCCCGAATCAATTAACATTGAAGTCCCCCAACTATTTCTGGGCTCCAAACTGGAGCCTTATCTTTACAGCTGGATTGTGACAGTAGTCCAACTTGGGTATAAATTCCACTCTTCAAATTTAAAATAAATTTATGCCCTAAGTTCGTACCTGCAGCATCCCATCGGGCTACCACAGGCACTTTAAAATAAATCACATTATCAGGGAGCTTCAGGGTTATCTGTACTGCAAACTGTGTGTCATCTTCAGCCTCTCCTGGGGAATATGGATACACCTCCAATCCAACATCCAGCAGCTTTGGCAAGACAGGAGAAGGACAGATAAGGGGTTTATCAGAAAATGCAGGATTTTTTATATGAGTTCATCTAACTACTGCAGAGTTTTTTAATGCACCATTCAAAGGGTTTACTAATATTGCACATTTCCAAGTACAACTTTGAAGGCAGTAGAAGAGTAGCTACCACGAGGCCTTGGAACCCTTCCTGTGCCCCAGTGTGGGCACAGCCCTTTCTAACAGAGCACAGCCTCAGAAACCAGGAGCAGCTGGGAGGCAAAAGCAGGTGTAATTCCACTCCCAGTGTCAGAGGGAAGGTCCCAGGGGGCTGGGAATGAACATCCTGGGCTGCTCCCCTGCCCACAGTGCGGCTCTCTGAGTTTGGCTTATTGGGAATTGGGATTATTGAAAGTTTCCAGCGTCACAGCGCGAGCTGTGGGGTAGCTCTGTGCTAGAGGAAACCAGAACACAGCGATTGCAGCCCTCAGCCAGCCTGAAGAGCCTGCAGCTGAACCAGCAGTGCTTTTGGTACCAGCGTGCTTTTACCTTTCACACGTGAAAATCTGATGCTTTGCAAACCTCGTCTCGTTGGTTTGCCGCTCAGAAGTCGTGTCCAGTGCGTGTGCCAGCAGTGCCAAACCTCAGGAGCGGCTCCTCAGGGGTGCCAGGGCACCAGGGGCTGATCCCTTTCCTCCCTCACCTCCACCATGCTCCAGTCCCCGAGGTCCTGGGCCTGGGGCGGCAGCTGCAGGGCATCGATGTGGTACACACCCCCCAGGGGCAGCAGCTGCTGCAAATCAACAGCTCTGGGTGCCTCTTCTCTGCCTCCTGCCTCCTCCTGCAGCAGCGCATCCGCTTCTGAAAAATTCACCGGGCAGCAGGAGTTAACCTGGTGCTCAAACTCAGCATTTCCCACCTCTCTTCATCTTCCTCCGTGTGCTGGGAGTGCTCCAGGAGGCAGCATTTCAGCCCCATCTGCTGGTGCTCTTCAATAATCACTGAAATGTGGGGAAAGGCAGAGAGCTGGGCAATGAAAAGCGCTTCTTGATTTGGGGCTTTTGGATTTGTGGCCAGTGCCAAATGTTTTCTATAGGAATAAGGTTTTACTGACAAAATGAGTCCATTGTTACATGCACAAGAGTTTCACAAGCACAGTAATACAGTAGATTCTGGGCAAGTTTCGTAAGATTATATTGATATTAAAAGAAATGAAGCAGATAAAAAGATATCTAAAAATAAGGTGCTAAAAGGTCATGTGCTGAAGGTGAAAGACATGGTAATTATGAAGAGCAAGAGGGATTTAACATTAAACACAATTTTCAGATAACAAAGATAATTCCTTTTTTGTGTATAATTACATATATTTCACATATGTATGAACTTAAGGTTTAATTAGCTGGAAAATGATAGTAAAAGGCAGAAACACTGTGGACAAAAATGACCACAAATATTTTCCTTAAGAAAACCAACCCACATCAAACATCACACGAGATGGTACAGGAGGAGAGAAGTTACTGTCAACAGGAATCAAGATAAAGCATTCAGTACTGTAAAAACAGCTACTGAAATTGTTACAAAATTTGCTCTGAGAGAATTAGACCATATAAAAAAATGACAACTCTCTTTATAAATTGTCTTCAAGCTTAAAAAAAAAAAAAAAAAGAAAATTTTGTTTTTTAGTCTTAATTTTATGTCAGATTCAGTTACATTCTGCAGAGGTTTGACTCTACTATACCACACATCATCATAATGTCCTTTTGCAGTTATTCTGAACAACAAACTTACCAGAAGTAAAAAACATTTTACTGCATTTTACAGTGGTAGCTTACACCTTAACTTGTTTTTTAAAATAATGATACAAAAATATATAAGTATCCTCTAAAGAAACTATTTATTGTCCCAAGGTAATTTATCTCTTTAACAATGGTACAATAAGGGTAAATCCAAAGAAACTGTCACTCTTGTCTGTTGTTGCATTTCTGTTTTCTAACCCTCATTTACCTGGCTCCTTGTTTTGAACTTAAGGTAACTGAGCAATCTTTCACTGCTATTCTCAAAAGTGATCGAAAGGGTTTGCAAACCATGAGCGTGCCAGAAAAAACAGTTTTTTCCTTATTAAAACAGATGAACAAGCTGGAAAACACTCAGGTATAATCGGTATCTGTGCACAACCACTTCACCTAATACTGTGGCAGGGGTATTCAAAGCCTGACAGAAATAAAATACAAATTCCTCCACATGAGGCCCAAGTCCTTTATATTCTCTTGAAAATCTTGCTTTTAGGGTCTAATCTGACAACTGGTTCTCTGGACTGCGTGCTCAGTCCAAAGTGTTGTGGGCTGGGGTGGAGCTAAATTATGCTAATAATTGTTTGCAATTACTTCATTTAAGTCAGTGCCACAAGAAAATTCACTCTTATTAAACCAAAGCACCACACCACAACACTGGAGAAATTTGTAACTTATGTGGACAGACAAACAGTTTTATTTCCTAGAACTAGGCCCTCTCACTTTAAGCACCCATTTAGGTAATGCTCAGTAATACCCCACACTGCACCAATGCATACCATAATATGCATTTGAATCATCATTTTCTGAGGAACTAAATCTCCCCAGAGCCTGGCAGATTCATAAAGATTGTGTGTCTCACCCATAAACATATGTATAATAATACGCATATCTATATAAACATGATAAACATGTACATAAGCATAAATAATAAATAAATAAAATAAGTGTGGGGATGAACTCCATTTTCCTGTCCTGTTATCTCCCCACATGATACAATCATGTATAGAAATTATTGAAAAAATAGAAAAGTATAGAAATTATTAGAAAAAAACCCAATCATTAACAGAAATGTCAACAAAACTCAAGTGTTATCAAAACATTCCTATAAACTTTGGTACATTCCCATGGAGATATTGCAGTGTTTCCACAGATCAGGGAATGGCCTGGGTTAGAAGGGACCTTAAAGTCCATTTCCAGCCCCCTGAACACTTTCCACTATCCCTGGTTGCTCCAGAGCCCCATCCATCCTGGCCTTGGACACTTCCAGGGGTGGGGCAGCCACAGTTTCTCTGGGCAGCCTGTGCCAGGGCCTCCCCACCCTCACAGGGAACAATTTTTAATACATAAAATACTAATAAGTACTTTTGTAGTGCTGTGTGTAAAAAAATAACCAAATACCTTGTGATGGTACATCCAAGGCGTCTGCATTCATCTCAGTTTCCTCCTCTGTCTCTTTTATATCATCTGTGTTATTGCTATTTTCTTTCAGAGAGGCAGCACTCTCCTAGACAAAAAGCAAGAAACATTTTTCCATTAGTCAGAGAGAAGAAGGTATCACCTCCTTCAAGGATGCCCAAGGAGAAGGGATACAGAAACAGTTGTACCGATCTTGCTACAGGGTCAAGGTTTTAAGAGAAATAATTTCTACCTAGCTAGCAAAAATATTTTGATTAAAGGCACTCTCTAATTTGGAACTGGATTTATAAATAGTGACAAAGTAATTACTTAATTTCCACAGCAAATTCCATCTTAATGTCCCTGAGTACCAAACAAGCATCCAATACTTTATCAGCAGAGTGTGTGCTCGAAAGTTGTGGTTTTGCTCATTTTACAGCCAGCAGAGTGGCACAAAGTAAAATGCAAGTTGAGGCTGAATGCAAGCCAACACTGAAATTGTGCCAGAACACACCAGTAGCTTTGGCCCATGCCTGGCCCATAATATTTATTCCCTTTCACACTGTATTTCACTGTATTTCCACACATAAATGTGGGGGAGCTCAAGGCACAGCCAGACAGGAGGATGCCAAGAAACACCTTCCCTTGTATTTCCAGACAAATATCCAACCCAGACAGGGATTCATCCACGCCACAGCAGACTCCTCTGGAGGCACACCACCTTCTGTGCCCTGGCTCTGCAGGCCAGCACGTGGGAAGATCACACATCTCCTCAAACAGGACAGGAGGTGAGAGGACAGTAGCTGAGACAAGTGGAGCCTTTAGAAAAGAGGTCACAGAATGGATTGAGAGAAAGAGTGCAAGACCTGGGAAAGAAGAAGAGAAGGAATAAAATGAAGGAGCATAAAGGAAGTCTGAGAAATATAGGTGAAAAGTGCCAAAAGATAAGATTTGTCATACAAAAAAAGAAAAAAAGGAACCAAGAGAAGTAGGATTTCAAGCGCTGATTCATTACAAAGGTGCTGGGGACGGAAAAGGAGAAAAACCATGATCATGAACAGAGGTTTGATCCCCATTTGTTCCCTATATGGATTCCAGAATTTCTTCACCTAAGAGTTGGACTCGAGGATGCTTGTGGGCCCCTTTTCACTCAGAACATCCTAAGAAATTGCTCCAAACATACTAAGAAGAAACTTGATGTTTATTTCTGCAGAAATTTTAGGTAGAGAACACAGGGCATTTATTTGAAAGTCACACATGATACACAAAGTGAAAACCCCAAATGCAGTATGGACAACACAAAACCAAGCAACCTTCATTACACCTAAAGCAAACATATTCCATGGAAGAGAGCTGAGGAAGAGCACAGGCAGCCAGAATAGCATTGGAAAAGCCCTTTGAAAAGCAAAGGGTCAGCATACAGACATGGAGCAGCCACGCACCTGCACAGCCAACACCTGCTGAACTCTGAATCCTACTCTGCACACTGCAAATTTTCCTAAAGTTGGATTCCTGCAGGAATTTTGTGGGGATGTCTGCTTTGAAGAAGCAGAATCCATTCATCTGTACATATGCCAGAAATTTATAGAAATATTTTGCAATGGCACTTCATGCTTGATCCTACTTTTAAGCCACCAACCAAATGCCAATTGCACACCCTATCCAAACTTCCCTTTCTATTTTCCATTCCCTTGAGAAGATCTATTACACTGTTGACAGAAGTTGTCTTTTCCAAAGAAACATTTAAGGATTTGGCTGTCCTGCACATGACACTGTGACTGAGCTTCAAGTTAACAAGAGCAGTGTGGGATATCCTTTGAGGATTTTTACCCACCTTCCTCCCTGTAGAACATGTTTCTTCTGCAGCAGGCACACTGGGCTCTTTAATGCCTTTCTCCTCCTCTTCTCCTGGTTCTTGCCCAGTGTCTTCTGGATGCTCAGCTAACTCCTCGCTGTCTGAGGCCTCTGGCCTCGGCAGCCCTTGGCAGTGCACCCACAGGGGAGACACGTGGTCGTAGCAGGTGTGCAACACTCGAACGGCCACACTGCTCAGAGCCAGGGATTTGGGCAGGTCAAAGCCATGCCCCACCTCCTGGAACATGTGGTTCTTGAACCTGGGAAGGGCAGTGACAACAACAGCAACAACAGGCGTAAGATTGGCAGCACTTCATTTGGTGTTTCCTCACAAAAGGTTCAATTCTCTTTTGGGATTTGTTGCACCTCCTGAGAAATGTGGGAGTCACCGTGCTTGTGCTGGCAGGTCTCTGTAAGAGCCTCCAGCAAAGCCACAATTGCATCAAGGGGATCAGAAGTTTCAAAAATAAGCCTTGGCAGGATGACAATGAGGCAGGATCAAATGGCAGCTCTTCTAGGAACTACATTCCTGGTAAAATGGACTAATTTATTGGGAAAATCCCTGCACAGCTGTCTGTGTTACATCACTCTCAGTGCCTTTCAAAAGAATTCAAATGATACTTATTTTTGGATAAGGTAGGCTGGTCACAAGTTCTAAAAATCTTCTAGTAAAGCAACACTTAGCTTTTAATTGTTAGCTGAGTATTTTAAGTGCATCTCTCTACTGGCCAAAAGGCTTTAACACTTAACTCACATGGGCTCTTCCTGCAGGTCAGTCAGGTCATTGTTCAGCACCCACACTTAACAAAATTCACAGCAACAGGTCCTTAGTCAAGCTAAAGTCCTTTTAATAACTGATTTCTTATATTTATGGAGCGGGAGTAGGAAGTCTGCTCAAAAATCTCATTTCGAAAATGTACCATTTAAATGGTAATCCAATAAAAACACAAAACTTAGATTCAGGAATGAAAGTGCATCCCAAGCTCTAAAATATTTTCTCTTAACTGAGCACAAAGTATCACTCACTGCTTTGCAAGCAACTGGAACAACTTAGAAAATATGAAATGCATCAGCAAGAAACACTGCTTCCAGAGGAATTTCAAATCTCTGCATGAGCGTTGTTGTTTTTCTTCCAAATTTCTTCTGGCAGTGACAGGGCTCTGCTGTTGCATTTTAAGAAATTTATATATCTCTAAACCACTCCATAGCAACAGCCAGCACTGAGAGTCTGCAGAATGAATGCTATTCAACAAAAAAAAATATGGTGAGAAATTGATTCTTGGTGTTTATTCAACAAAGCCAGGCCTCATTTTAAAGTAATAATTTCAGTGTGCTGTACCTTGCTTTCTTCTTCAGATTGGCCCAAATACAAAAAGTAGTATTTTTATCCTTTATGACTGTGTGCATGTTCCCAGTTTCAGAATCTTCATACATACTAGCTGCCTACAAAGAAAAAAGCCAATTAAATAATGTTCTATTTATTTCACTTTGATTTACCTTGAATAAATAAATAAATAAATAAATAAATGTAAGAATGAAAATACACCAGACCAAGTCCAACTCAAATCTGTTTCTTAAAATTTGAACTACATTCCCTTTTTTCCCTCTGACTTCATAAATTCTGAGCCATGTACTGCCAAATAGGAATTCTTCCATTACTTCCCAAATTCTCAGGATAAATTACAAAAAACCAACAAAGGATTTACTGAGCAATAATGGACTCTTACCCCAGAGTCACTGCACAGATTATTTTATCATTTAGGCAACATCAAACTTGTGAAATAATAATTACATTGTGAGCTTAATCCTAAATTCACTAAACAAGAATTCAACATTTCTTAATTTGCAGGAGGTTCTGACTGTGCACACACAACTGGTTCTCTATTTCACTAATATTCCCTTGCTAAACGTATTTTATGTATGTGATTAATATCCTTGAAATAGCAAGGTCCCTACCTACACATGCAGCTCAAGAAACTGACTCCCCAGCACAATTTCATTTCCTTGTTTGAATACCCTTTACCATTCCCCGGATCTTAGTTTAAAAAAATACTTCAATCACATGAACTTGCATTAAAAAAATGCGTACAAGGCAACCTTATGAGCTGCTTTTCACATCTACATTTTTTGGTCAACAAATTTCATACAGCACCTCTTGTTTCCATTATCTCCAAATCTCACAAAATTTCCCAGCAGTTTATTCTTGTCTGACTTAATGATCAGATTTTCCACTGTAAAGTTCAGATTTTCAGGAGTTTTGAGTAATTACAAAGTCTGGTGAGTGCTATAAGCATGGTTTGAAAACTCATAGACTCATCTCTGTGACAGTTTAGGATCAAACAAAGCAAACTATCATTAAAGGACACTTGGAGTTAAACTTATGTGCACATATCACAATTTTGAAGCAGTAAATCTCACTCACTTTGAGCAGGTTCTGAGTAGCCTCATTGTACTTCTGATGAAGCAGATCCTGCAATTGCAAAATAAATTCCTGGTACTGGTCTCGTTGTTTTTCTGTGATCTCATCTGGTGATGCTTCCAATAGAAGAAACTCCAACTGCTCAATCAACTGGAAGACATTTACATAGGAAAAGTATCTGTTTTGACACCATCCTTAATATACTGTGTGTTCTGTCACAAAAAATGAGGCAAACCTACTTCCCTTGTACCTAAACAGATTTTGGTCACAGAAATAACCTTTTTTATTTTTTTATTGACAGATAGAAAATCTAACTTACAACCTAACCAGCCCAGTAAAACTTGTATTATACATTAAACTTCCCCCCCCCGCCCAGTTTCTAGAAGACCCCGTTTACCTTTCTGAAAAGCCACAGAAAATCAGCATAATTGAAAATAAAATCCCAAATTTACAGAGCAGACAAATATTGCTTAAAATTGCTTCACAAGCTATGAATGGCTGGTGACTTTTGTTGGTAAAAATCAGTTCTGGGAACTTTTGCATGGCATTTTACTGGCTCAAGTGTTAGAAAATGAGGCTGTTGTCCACCAAAGCATTTATATCTGACAGGAGCTTGTATGCTGTGGTTTAAAATGGAAAGGAATATGGGTGTTGGAATGCTAGACCTCAGTGTAGAAACACAGTACACAAACCCCTTAAATGCATATTGAAAGTCAATACACATCTTCTACAGGGTTAACAATAAATCTGTAATTAAAGAAAAATGGAAAAATTGAAGAAAAACTTTTAGGTGTTGAAGGTCTTTCAGTCATTTGGCCATGAAAAAAGGGAAAATAGAGGAGGCTGTTAAGGATATGTTAAGCTTAAACTGAAATACATAATTTTAACATTTACATTTAGGACCACTTCCTCCTTCTCCATCACAAGCTGAATGTCCACATCTTGGTCGTCACGCCACAAGCTCATGAAAGTGTTGATCTCCTGAGGTATAGTGGGGTCAGGAGTCCCATCACATTTGAGGTAATGCTCCCACTAAAGAAGAGTTCAAAGAAAAGTGGATACAGGTATACTGCACAGTGCTATTACAAGAACAAGGAGGATTCTGAAAGACAAATATATTTTAGTGACAAATTCACACCTTCATCTACACAGGATTCTAACATCACCTGGTTTATTATCCTTATGCCAGGAAAAAAAGGTTTACTTTGATATTCATGTGTTAAGATGCCTCTGCCCACCTCACACTTGCTGTTTATACCCATTTATCAGTGGGTGCTCCACAAAAGCAATGAATTCATTACCTGCAACAAGAGAGGGGTGGAAAATGACTGCGAACAGAAACGAGGAAGGTGCAGGTGGGAAGAGGCAGGTGGGTCTCGGATCAGATTCTGCCAAGAAAACTGAAAACTCCTACACTGGCAATAAAGCTGATTAAGAGCCTCTACTGCAACATATTTACTCCTCCTTTCTCTGCCTCTGAGGATTTCCTCTCCCTTACAAGCATCAATTCTTCTGCTGCAGAAACCCCTGGTAGGAATGTGAAATCCTAGATTAGTGGATTTTTTAAAATAATTTTATTTTCAAATCAACACTTGGCCATTCCTACAAGTGGTGTAAAGAAAAAATCCGTGGCAGACTAATGCCACTTAATGCCAAAAGTAAGCCTAACATTGGCTCCTAGAATCAATTTATCACCCATAATGGAATTTTTTTCATCCATAAAATAGAATATCAAGGAAACACTGCCCTCCTGTTTGCTGTGAAGATTAATAACCTCATGTTACTGAAAGTTGCATTACAAAGGAAAATGTATCTTTTAAAGCAAAAGCACTTACAGGATTGCATTCCCAACCACTTCCATCAGCATTCCCACTGACTTCAAACAAAGCAACAATAGGGGAGTGCTGAGTGCACTGGAAATTCCTGTATAAAAGACTGATCAATTTTCAGTAATAAGACATCTGATTTCTTTTTTTTTACATCTTTGCACTTAAAAGAGATCTTCACTTTTATAACCACATTCTTGGAAGTAACAGCACTTTTTTGGAGAAAAAGGATAAATTTCATGGTAAGTTGTAAACACATGTCTTCATCTAAACTGAAATTGTTCAGAAACAGATGTGGAAACTCAGTATTTGGTATTATATATTTATTTTGCCCTAAATAATCTTAACAACAGACTAACAGAAACTCTGGTATTTCCCACCATCTACCAGTGTTTTATCAGATTTACTTTAAAATCACTAGTTCTAGTTTGCCAAAAACATCCATATACAACAGCTGGCAATGATCACAAACTGTAACAGGGAAATGCCAATTGCATTCAGAGAAAAGTTGTTATAGTGAGAGGGGTAAAGCTGTCAAAGATGCTGTGGTACCTCCAGCTTTTAAACATTTCAAAACCCAAACCTTGATTTAACTTCAGACTTTACCCTGCTTGGTGTGGGAGGTTGAACTACAGGAATTTCACAAGTCCTCTCTAACATGATTTATCCTAGGACTGTGAAGTTGTTCTGCAGAGACTTTAAAAGGAGTAAGCAATACACAAGACAAAGAGAAAATCCTTGTGTCCTCAAGACTGTAGGGTATTAAACCTTAGGTTCCTTACCTGACCAAATCTCATCATCAGACTGTTACTGACTGATGTGTCTGCAAGATTCACAAGAGTGAAATCTACTGTTTTTCCACACCTTATCACTTAAAATTGAACTTGACAGGTACATAATACCATTGGGTGATAATACAACCACCTTGGATGTCATCCCAAACTGTAGACACCAACTTTTAGCTGCATTTTTATACATTTTCAGCCCCAACCTGGGTTTGCACCCCATCCTTCAAAAATCTGGCACATCTCTCTCTCTGAATGATACCCAGGAACCACTGAAACAAATGTTCTACAGAATTTCTTTTTAAGCCCTGGCAGAACTTTCTTGGTGAAAAGGTTAAAAGCAGAATGATTTAAAGAAACAAAGAGGAAGAACAGATACCAAAACATATGAAATTACAATTCCTTGTGACTGTTGGGGTAAGGTGTGGGGCACTGATACTTTGATCACCAAACAGGCTCCTCTTTGCCCACATTTCTTTTCTGTGTGCTCCACAGTAAAGAAGAGGGTGAGCATGGCCTGTCACTGCTTTGAGATGGAGCTCAAAATGCTGTCATAGCACACTCCTACATTCAAGAACTGGAAGCTCCTAAACTCTCTTCCTTGCCAAACCTATGGGCAGATTTTGGCAAGAAAGCTTACCTTGGCTTGTTCTCTGTAATCCATTTTCCACTGCTGTGCAGAAAGAAACTTCTGTTCCAATGAATTAAGTTCTGCTAGTTCAGACTCCTTCTCTCCTTGATACTGTTAAAAATATATATATATATATATCAAACAGGACAGTTAAATATTTGGCTTATTTCTTACAATTATTTTACACAGAAGAAACAAATTTGGGATATTTGAATGAGTTATTATTTTTTCTTTATGAAACATCCAATTGAGAAGTCTGCAGTAGTTTGCAGTATGTTACTGTCATCTCAGTAAGCTACTGAGCCATATGATAAACATAATGTGACATATGATTGTAACCTCTCATTTGAACAGTTTCCATATCAGCATCCTGAAGACAGCTCTAATGGGAGCTGCTAAAAAATGTAAGCATAATTTGGAAAAAAGGGTGCAAGATTGTTTTATTTGTTCCCTTTTCATTTATATTATTTTAAAGTCATCTTCTCCTTAGGAGGAAAAAAATATTCTGTGAAGTACAAGAGGAGTAGACAAGAGTGACTCTTTCAAAAACAATTAGTTTATTGTAAATCTCTTTTTATTTTTTCTTTTTAAACACAAAAATATTTATCTATTACCAATCAGTTTTTGTTCTGAATGCCAGACTGTTGAGAAAAATAAATATACATAATCTCAAATACAAATCACTGTATCTGCCCAAGCAGGGAACTAATTAAGGAATTTGTACCAAATATCCTCATGGGGAACATGAGAAATACATTCAGTTGAAAGCACAGTGGAAATGGGGAAAAAAAAATGCATTTCATCAAACTAAAGAAACACATATCACAAGAGGTAATGTATTTAAATTTATAAAAACTGGAAAATTTCCTCAATATTGTTCCCAACAATAAGTACGAAAGGAAATTAATTCCTATAAATTACTGGTGTTTTACAGTCTCAAGTTTAGAAATAGGATTAGATTTTTTCATTGAGTAAAAAACTAACCTTTGCTTCAAGCTTTTCCAAGTGCTCTTGATATAGTCTCTCCCTTTCAAGTCTTTCTGCTTCTTCTTGTTCAGCTCTTAACTGGGCTTCAGCTGAGGATTGGGAAAGAGATGAAGGGCATAACTATGCTTTCCTAAATGAAATCTAAAAAATTATTTGGTTACCAGCTGTAATGATAAAACCACTATAAAATAAGCAACATAAATGTTTATCTTTCACTGCACAGAAATCTCCCATATGAAGATTGATCCATTAATTTGAATACTTCTAAAACACACTGTTTCTGGTACTGCCCCCTCAGTCTGTGAGGATAAAAGTGGAAACAGGACTGCTCTCTCCATCTGCAGCTTCAATGGACACAGGTTCTCAATCCAAAGGCTTAAGTGAAATTCAGTGCTTGAATCCCAAACTCCTCTTCTTCTTTACTACATCCACTGGTTTCCTACAATTTAAATTTTACATCTGTTTGTTCACTGAAATCCTCTTCAGGATCTGCTACTCCACAGTTCTGGCTTCTCTTTGCTGCCATAGGGTCTAGAAAATTAGAGAGGATGTGAAAACTAGAACTGATTCAACCTCAACACCTTCAGTCTAAGATGGCACAGCCTGTGCCTCAATCCAGATGTTCCCAAACAATGACTTGATGTCATCACTTCCAAGTAAATCACACCAAGGCTGTGTGCTGCACTGAGGCAAGAGTAGCAGCAGTTCCCAAATTGGCCTGTGCCCACCTGAGCTGCCACTCCCACCACAAAAGCTTATCAGTGATTAGCAGTCACTGGCAGTCACAGCATGCCCAAACTCCCACCGGGATGGATTAACAGTAAGTTAATTCTTCCCAACTTCCTAATTGCAGTAGGAACAACTACAGAAGAGAGTATTGCTCTGACAGGGAAATGAGATGCAGCACCCAGGAACAGGGAATTTGGCCCACACAAGAAAAGAGGAAGGAATCATTTGTATTTGTGAAAGAGATAGCAATTCACATCTATTTCACGACGTTACTTTCTGCCTGTTTATTTAAAATAAACAATTTGTCCATCATATCCCCTCTAAATGAAGTGCACAGTACCTCTCAGCTTCGCTTCTTTCTTCGATTTTTTACTTTTGCCATCGGACTTCATGTTAGTAGTAAGGGAGAAGAAAACAAATGTCAGTGTTATTTGAATATAATTTGGCAGTTCCAAAACTCTGTAACTTTGCCCTTCAATGTGATCCCTCAATTAAGATTTTAGACTTCCTAGACAGCCAAACAAGCTCCCAGAACAGTAATGCACATTCTGGACTCAATTTTCTTCTCTTTTTTATGACAAGATCTTACAATTAATGTATTTTTCTATGCTAGACATTCCCAAGCACAGCCACAACACAAGACTATTAAAATCTTTTGGTTTAATGTAGAAATTGAATAATAGGCAAATCTGCTAAGAAAGTAGATGCTACAATTTTAAATACTTTAGGAAATACTTGAAAATGTATTTTGGGACAAGCCTGGCATTTAGAAGCATCTAATTCACAAGACAAAATAGCAAAGAGTTCTCTTTTCTGTTATAAAATCTCACTGCAACTCCCGACAGTTCATTGTTCACCCCCAGCATAATTCTAGAATAACTATATTTTAAATTTGAGGTTCTCAGAAATTATCTGACTACTGGTCCTTCTTTACACACACTTATTTCACACTTTGATTCTGACTATCACACATTCAGATATAAATAACTACTTGGTCACACTACTTGGCATGGCAATAAATCTATTGGCATAAATATACATATATATGAATGCAAGTCTGAGTACAGAGATTGCCATGAAGCTGGGACAAATACAATGGTGACAATGAAGTGTCTCCAGAGTCTGAGTGCATCTTCCTGCATTTGTTACCAAAGCATTCATTTGCAAAATTATTCCTAAATACAGTCAGTAAAATTCACACTTCTTCCCATTAGGATTTTAGGAAAGAATTTGTTCTTTTTGCTTTGATAAATAAATAATTAAACTGAAAATGGAAAATCTGCTTGTTTCAATTACTTGAAATCACGTTTTAGTCAACTTATTTTCACATTCCAATGACTTAACAGAGCACTGAGAAGAGTGAGATGCACAGCTGGGGAGGGGTAGATAAATTAATTATCACAGAATTAAGAATAACCCAAAAGATAAATATATGCAACCCAGTTTCCCACAGACTTCTGCCTGTTGTCCCTTCACCCCTCCCAGTTCTGTGTTCAGCCTATGGCTCAGATAACAGAGTCCCAGAATCACTCAGGTTGGAAAAGACCTCCAAGATCATTGAGTCCAAGCTGGGCCCAATCCCTGTCTTGTCCCCCAGCCCAGAGCACTGAGTGCCATGTCCAGTCATTCCCTGGGCACCTCCAGGGATGGGGACTCCAAACCTCCCTGGGAAGCCCCTTCCAATACTTGACAAACTTTTAATGATGAAATTCCTGCTCATGCCCAACCTAAGCTTCACCTGGCACAGTTTGAGACCATTCACTCTTGTCCTGCCCCTTGCTCCCTGGGAGCAGAACCCTACCCACCCTGGCTGGCCTCTCCTGTCAGGGAATTGTGGAGAGCCAGAGGGTCCCCCCTGAGCCTCCTTTTCTGCAGGCTGAGACCCCTCAGCTGCTACTGATGCTCCAGCCCCTTGCCCAGCTCCGTTCCCTTCTCTGGACACGCTCCAGCCCCTCAGTGTCCATCTTGCAGTGACAGGCCCACAACTGGACACAGCACTGGAGGTGAGGCCTCACCAGTGCCCGCGACAGGGGCACAGTGACTGCCGTGGTCCTGCTGGCCACCCCATGGCTGGGACAGAGCCAGAACACGGCCGCTGTGCCTGGACACCCGTTGCCAAGCCAAACAAGCTGCACTGGCCACGCTCTCTCCAGCAGCGCTACAGGAACATTTGGCCTCCTTGCAAAGAGCACAAAAGCTCGGTGTCCTGGAGACGCCTCTTCCTCCTTCAGATTCAATTAACCCTGGCCAGTTGCCTCAGGAAAAATCAAAAAAAAATCAGATTAAAAAAATAAACACAACAGTGAACAGTGTGTTTCTGTCTACCTACCTTTTTTTTTGGACCCTAAAAGATTAGAAGGGAAAAAAAAAGGAAAGGGAACATCAGTCAACAACGTATCAGCCTGAAAGGAATAATTAGAAATATACTATTATTCCGTTAAAACTGGACGCGATCAGCTATTGAAAAACTCTAATGACAATAATTTCAATACTGCAGGAAATTAGCCACTCACACACGACTCTCGGAATGAACTTTGTTACTACAGACCCATTCTGACAACGAAGTCAGAGCCACCTCCCGGCTGCTTCCACACGGAGCAACCACAGCAGCAAAACCACCGCACAAGGACTTAACGCCGGGGCTCACAAAAGATAACGCGTCCTTCAGGTGCTACATTGAGATTAAAGCCTTTATTCCACCTCCCGGGACTCCGGTAGCTAACGAGGAACACCCCGCTTTCCTCCACCCCCTCACCCTTGCCCTGTCCCGCAGGTATCCCGCCCGCAGCCCGCTCCCCGCCGCACCATGTCNTTTGCTAATAGTTAGATCATCTCTTTGCACCTTCTTTCCTGTAATTTTCTTTCTAATTTGCAGGCCTATTCAGCTTCTTAGGCGAAATTTCCTAATTACATAGGTATAAGTTGTATCAATTAAATCCTAGAAGGGGAACAATAGTGAAGTCCTTATTGACATCCTCCATTTATATTCTGTTTTTGAAGCAACACTTGCACTTCTGCAATATGGACAACCATAGTTTTCCTGTAATCATCTGATCACCTCTGGCTATAACATTTGTTTGTATAGTAAGATTTTAGGCCTGGAATTTTTGAGACCTTCTGCAGAACTCATGCTCTAAGAATTACACAGTTCTAATGTAATTATGTAGGAACAATCCTAATAGTTTTCAGTGCAAAGTGAGAATATAACATTTCATTCTCTGACATCACTAAATTCATGCCCTTAAAAAATTTTTACAATTAATTTCTTCCTTTTTATAATATCACTCAATAAAGAATGTTTTTCTCATGAGGAATGATTTGCCAGGTTTCAGGGACTTCTGAATATCTGCTATTACAATTTGAAAGGTTAAGGATTGCAGGAATGCAGGATGCTTTTTTGGCTTCAAATTACTTTGCTTCATGCACAATTCATGTTATAGCATCAGTCAGTCATTCAATTATCATCTAGTTTGGGCTGTTCCCCTTTTTTGCTGTCTGTGATTTTGCTACCAAGGAAATATGAGTGAAGATAGTCATGTTGGGCAGGAAAGCACTTTGCTCAGGGCAGGGTGCACTAAAAGTAGGCGTGAGCATGTGCTCATCTAGCAGCAGCAGACTGGTGGCAGTACTTGCATGGTGGAGTTACGAGATCATCTGTGGTAGCAGCCCTGCATCTGCTTCCTTTCTTTCATCCCTTTTGGTTTTGGAACAAGGAATCCTTGATGATATTTCACTAACAGGGTTTAAATTGTACAGTGAGGCGCCTCTGAACATTTTGCAATTTTTTTTTGGGCACATTTTTTGTTTGCATTTTTCAAGCCCCATGTTGCTTAACATGGCTTTTAAATTTAATAAGCAAGGCCATGAAAATGAAAGGCAGCATTTTCATGGAAAGCACCTGGGCAGAAAAAAGCCTGGTGTCCTCGGGACCACAAGCTGACCAGGAGACCTGGATGCTGCAGAGCCTGTGGATGTTGCCGTGCTAGGTGTGGGTCATGCTCTTTGCCTACCGCCCAGCACTGGTGAGACACAGCTGGAGGGCCGATTCTGGAATCCCAGGATGAGGGAGGTGTGTCCGTACCGGAGCAAGGCCAGCAAAGGGCCACTGAGGTGAGAAGGGGACTGCAGCGCACGGTGCACGAGGAGAGGCTGGGAGAGCTCTGCTGGCTTTTCTTGGACTAGAGCAGGCTGGGCTGTGTGGTCAGGGTGTGCAAACACCTGACTGAAGGTGGGTGGGTAAAGGACACAAGCGACTCTGTTCAATGCAGCAATGGCAGGAAACCCAATGGGCACAAATTGAACCGTGGCAAGTTAGAATGAAAGGAATGGTGGTGAAACACTGGATCTGGTAGCCCAGAGCGGTTGTGGTGGAGTCCCTGTGCTGGTACAAGAGTTGTCCTGAGTCTGTCCATGGTGCTGCTGTACATGGAGGGATTTGGGGAGAGGAGAGGGGTCTGGGATGCTACAGAGCAAAATTTGTTTCAGGCAGCTGAGGAGGAACTGTGGTAAACTCTAAATTTTGTGGCTGTACTGATAAAGGAGGGATTTATGACTGTACCAGTGTGTCTCATGCAAGGGAAGGTCTGCCACCCTTGATCACAGGGACAAGGGGGAACTGTCATAGAATGAGGGACACCTGAATGTGGCAGTCCTTCAATGAGGTCCCTGGCATATGAGGGGGTATTCCCTAGTGAACGAGTAAAGTATTAGGTAAGAGAGTGTATTTCCAAGGGGGTGTTCTGTACTTAGGGCTCGGGGTGGGAGCAGGCAGCTCTATGGAAGGATCAGCTCAGTTATTGTGGCAGCCCCAGGGGCAGGATGAGTGCTGGGAATTCTTAGCAATGGAAGAGAAAAGAGAACCAGAATTTTTCCTGGCCAGACTAAAGCTTCAAATGTCATGAAAATGAGGTCTGAATTTCCTCCTTTTTTTTTTTATTTTCCCTTTACAATTAGTTGGCTTCTTTGCTGCGCTACGTATATCCTTTTTATCTGCTACTGACTGGATGATAGTCTGATGTCACTTCCTTCTTCATCTATTGTGCTTTTCCTCCTATTCAGACTTTTTCTCTTGTGATTTGTTTCAGAAGGAGGAAGTGCCAGAACATAGAGTTGTAGGCGCTCTTACAGACACCAACCTCTTAAAACTTCTCCAGCTGAGCATTGCATTCTGTGGTGTCTTGAAAGCAGGGACAGGTGAGTAGTGTTTGCAGTTTCTTTGCAATGGCCCTTGTGCTTTCAGAGGAAGAGATATAGCCAGGCTTCCTGTTTATTTTGTAAAAAATTTGCACAGGATAATGCAGCATCTAAAGCATTGCCCTATTTGCAGCAAAAGCAAAAATATATTTCCAACTTTATATAGATGTGACAGTAGTAAAGTTCTGTCCGCTGCTCAAAATGTGCCAACAGCCTCAAACCTTCGTAGTGGTAAGATTGGCGTGGCATTTTCTTGCCCCTCTACTGCACAGGAACTTCCCCCTAAGCCTGTACCGCTTTCTCTTACTGTTCTTGAAATGCAAAAAAATTACTTACAGGGCAAACCACGCTGTTGTGTGGAGGGTGGAGAATGCAAAGGGGTCTGTAAAAGGCAGGGTGGCCTGGGCTTTGCTGCCTGCATCACTGGTAGCACACGCTGACATTTCTGTGCAGGAGGAGAAAACCTTCTGGGGATCCAGAGCTGATCATTTGCATATCGACTGCCTCTCCTCTGTCCCCCAGTACCTGGTGCAGAGTGGTGGCTCCGTGTTCTGACATTTGGATGCCTCCCAGTGTGGCTGGGAAGTCGTTTTTAGCCACAGGGGAGCTCCGTGTGTAACCCAGACACAGTGATCAAGCGGCAATGACAAATGGGACTGTGCCAGCTGAGTCCTCTGTCACGTTCTCTGCAACTTTGCTTACAGCTGCTGCATTAAAGCTTCTCCTGTTTCCTGAACCTTTCTGTCCTGGAGCGTGGGGCTTTGGAGATGGATCCCATGGAGGGAGGAGAAATGATGGTATCCTTAGGAAGGAAGAGATCTTTGAGATGCTTAAGTTCAACCCCAAAGCCCACTCTGCCAAGTCCACTACTAAACCAAGTTCCACACCTTGGAACTTGTAAGTGCCACGCCTACGCATCTGTTAAATACCTCCAAGGGCCAGTGGCTCCAGCGCTTTCTTGGGCAGCCTGTGCTGGCACCTGATAACTCTTCCAGGGAACAAAATTCTGAGTAATGTCCACTCTAACCTGCCTTGGCAAAACTTGAGAGCATTTCCTCTGGTCCTAAAAGCCACAGCCTTCCTCACTCTTCTTCACGTGCTCTTGCCTGTTGACCTCTGGAGCCTGGTGGTGGGCACAGGAGGTGCTGCTTCTGCTGCCCTTCACTTTACGGAGCGGCACGGGCAGCAATGCTGATGCTAACGCTGAGGATGGAGCTAGACTGACTTATCTATTTGTTGCTGCCCTGTTAATAATCTCTTCCACTCCATCCCTCCCTTTTGGCAGAAGGGAAGGAGTAAGGGCAGGAGTGTGGAAGGATTGCCTATCCACCAGCAGGATGCACTGGGAGAGCTGAGCAGGTCAGAGCCAGCGTGACCTGTGCAAGGTTGGGTAGCAGCCTAGGAAGTCCCTTTACAAAGGTAGTTCTTGACCTTATTGTCTGCATCTGCCTCCAGAGCAATGCCCTGTATCCATTCCTTTCCCACCCTCCGTCCATCCTGCCTGGCTACGGTGCCATGATCAATGGGCTGAGCCCCACTGCAGGGACAGGTGGCTGGTTTGGAAATGCCTTTCCAAACTGACAGGTCAACAGCCTGGAAGACTGAGGCTTGTGTTTGGTTTGGGGGAAGGACACGTTGTGTATCAGGAGAAAACAACTCCCCTCATAACAACCAGCTCTCACTGGGCAGCAGCTCCACACAGTGTCTATTGACAGGGCTTCAGGAATGGTCATAAGGAACGTTCCTATTTCCTCCTGCNGTGAGGGTGGCAGCTCCCACGCCGTGCCCGCCTGTGCCGTGGGCTGCAAGGGCTCCGTCCTGCCCCAGCAGCACTGGTGGGACTCTGGCAGGTCCGCGAGGATGGCAGAAGCGGGAGGACGAAGAGGAAGGGGTCAGCTTGGAGGGAGAAAAGCGGAGTTCCGCTCTGCCAGTGGTGACTAACAGGTCTGACTTGGCTGAGAGGGTGGAAAGACATAAGAACTGGTGAGCGGGGAGGGTGCAGTTGGCTGCCGTGTTCCGGCAGACGTGCTCTGGAAAACGTCGG